CTTTACGATCCAATCAAGTGGAGCACATCAAAATAAATGCTGCCCAGGCAAAAGATGAAGTACTAGTTGAGGCTTTCGTCTGACCATAAAAAACCCGAGCAATAAAATTACAAAAAAAACAAGCCGAGGCAGATGACTGTCACGGGCTAATGGCTTAGCCCTCGAAAGGGTGTGTGAAATGGCCAACGAAACGACAACAGACATAAGCGTCTTATTAGATGCTCACACACATGGCACAGGACTCGCATTAACAGCTTCATTAAGGGCCACAGAGTACGCTCTGGGCAACCCACGCCTCCTGTCGCTGTCGAACCCTGGGCCAAAACTCTGCTAAGCCCAACATTAATTTTGTGGGCCTTTGGCAACAGGCAATAAATCTTCAGCAAAAACAGCCAAACAGAGCTGACAGCTGGATGGGCGGGCTGGGGGCAGCTGCAGCTACAGTCAACATTTATGGCCTTCAGTCCTGAATTGTGCTGAAATCAATGCATAGCAATGCATCGGTTCGTTGCTGCACAGGTTGAAAATTAATTAGTATCCGACGGCCACAACAGGCATTCGATGTGCAAAACAAAAGTTACAGCAGACTTTCAAGCTCTCTTTTGCTGTAGAAAACAATGCTGCTGGGCAGCAGCAGCAGCAGCAGCAACACAAGATGGGCAGCCAGGATTAAAACATTCATTGAATACTAATATTATTATCAGCCATGCTGGCAGGCAGATGGGCAACCCTTGTGTGCCACACTGCGTATGGGTTTCAGTTGTAATTTGATTAGGTTGCCTTTGTTCTCTAACGTTTCTCTCTGCTGTCACTCCCCTGCGTATACTTAATATCCGCAGCAGACAAGAAGCTGCTGCCAGGCACCATTATTTGTTCATTATTCAACTGTTGTCAGTGGAGAAGATCTAAGCCACAGTGCGAGTAAACACACACAGCATTGGGGCATCGGCATACCCGTTGGCTGGTTGCGGTTGACGGCTCGCATTCTGTGGGCGGGCACGTCCCTCTGCCCATTAGACGCAATCATTTTCTTTAAATTTGTCGATTTAATTGAGCACCCCAAAGGCTAACCACAAGAAGTAATTGCATGTGTGGGAGCCCTTAAAGCCCGACTAATGGATCCAGCCGATGCCTGTTTAAATAACGAGCTTTAAATGGCGTGACAGAAACGTTTTCAAACGCAATTAGATGTGTGTCGGCTGCATGCTTTTGTTGCATACTTTGCGGCGTGGTGGCCCCGAGCCATGAAATGTTTAGCATACAGTCACAGCCACAGCCACTCTCTCTTGGCACAATTGCAGTCAGCAGCTCTACTGCTAATAGCCAGGCTAAGCAGCAACTCCATTCAAGCTGTTGCTGAAGCCTGGACCAAATTGATGCGCCATTATTAGACAAATGCCTGACAAGCGCGACTCAATTAGTGCGCCATAAACTGTCATACAAAGAGACACGGACACGCCCCTCCAGCCTGCACAAGCCACACACCAGCTTGCTGTGACAGTCAGTCCTCTGGGGGTCCTCGTTAAAGTCAATTGCAGGATAGAGACGATGAGGGACAATGCCATTCCGTCTGCCTGCCCGTGGATAATCAAGCGCTTTTAATGATTGCATGTTCTGCTCGGGGGAAATTGCATTTTCCGCCATTGATTGCAGCAGCAGCAGTCAGCGAATCAGAAAACAATTCAATATTACAATTTTCATAAATATTCTGCCAGCCATAACCGAACCGATTGCCACCGATTGCGGGGCACGTTTAGAGCGGATTTTATATTTCAATTTGTGACGCAGCCACAGTCCACTCCACTCCAGTCCAGTCCAGACTGATTTGGCCCATTAATTAACAATTCCATTATTGCAGATGTGCGAAAATTGGGCTTTAATTAAATTGCTTGTAATGCCATAATTATACCAGGCACACACGCACACGCACACGCACTCCGAGGCGGCCCACTCTGCTCAATGTAATTAATGAGTTTTTAGTTAAAAATACATTTTTGCCTGCCAACAATGACTCGAGAGCCTCAGCATGTGGGTGGCATATTGAAATTGAAATACAATTAAGTACACGCACACAGCGAGAGAGTTTTAGGATCCCTTCGAACCCCAGGGCACGAGCCTCGGGCTGTTCGACTTTTCAAGTCTTCCATTTATGCAAATGTCTATGACGCGTTCCATGTGTGTGCCGTCCGTGCGTTTCGAGCGTGTGTGGAGCTATGTGAGCCTCATCAATTTGCCATTGAAATATCCCCTTTTAATACCCGGTACTTGAAGAGTACAATGTCCGTCTGTCCGTTCGCACTTATCTTTTCAGTTTTGTGCGAGAAGCCCCAGAGTGCGGACTGTGGACAGACGGCCGATGATGAGATGTAGGGAAATCCAAGCTCTCCGTGAGTTAGCCGTGCTTTTACCTTCATCTTTTTGGCAGTTTTGTCAGATTTGCAATGCTCGATACTCTGATATGTGCGGAGCAGGATGGATTGATCGATCATGCGAGGAGGATGACACCCTGACGTGAGCTTCATAACACTCAACTTTACGCTCAACTCTAACTTACTTCAGTTCAAAACTTTCCTTTTCCTTGGCGAAAGGCCAAAGGAGTTGTATTGGTAAGTGGAAAAGGAACAATCATACATGGAACAGTCTTTACTTGGGGCTTACTCACCTATTTTCCAGCTCAAAAGTTTGCCTGCCGCTGTTCGATCCCAAGAATGGGATTACACTGCGCATCGAGGGGAACATTCGAGTGAAGCTTGTGAGACGAAAGCGCCAATAAAATACAACTTAAAGTCTTTAATTTATGCAAATGCTTCGAGTGTGTGTAAGCCCCATCAATTGGCCAGAAAAGACACTGCCAAAGGCACTGACAAATGTCGCAGAATAGTCAGAGGAAGCGACAAATGTGTGTAGGGAAGCGGAGCATTGAAAATACTCTGCCTGTTGTGTCGTTAAGGCTAGAGTTGGCACAAACACTCAAGCTTAGAGCACACATAAATACAAGACTCGTGTGCCTATCCGCTGTCGCCAAATCCCCAGCCAAAGACATTGAGTGTAATTACAAATTGAACTTGAGACTGAGACTGAAGACGGGAGGCAGCGTCTGTGCATGACTTTTCAACTGAAATGCGAGTTCTCTGGAGAGGCTGTTCTGTGTGTGTGTGTAGTGAGGGTTTGGGGTGTTCGAAGTCCATCAATATTGTGTATCTGTGTCCCACGCATGGCTAGCTGCAAATGATTAATCAAACAGATAACAACAGAGATAACAAAGCTGCAAAGAGAGAGAGAGAGAGAGAGACACCGCGATAAAGGGGTAAAGTAACGTAAAGTAAAGCTCGGCGCTTATCTTATCAACCATTTGAAATGCCTTACTACGATACGCAAAATGAATGCCAGTGACTAACACGAAAGGTAGGCAATTGATTGGGTTAACCGAGCGAAGCTTTTGCCTGCCCTGCAGATAAGATATGGAAGCGAAGTGGAAGCAGCCAGACCATTCATCGAACTGGAGCATTCAGTTTACCAAGAACCTTCATCATGGGAAGAAATACGTGTAAAAGCAGAGCCGGAGTGAGCTTCCTGCTGCTGCTGCTGCTGCTGGTGGCTTTGGGGTCCAGCAGTGTCGGAGCGGACGCCGATGAGGTGGATCGCTTCTGCTATCCAGACTCCAAGCGGGACACGCGGCACTCGTGCGAGTGCAACAATGTGAGTGCCGCGCCCTGGGGCATGCGAGCGCTGCGCATCGATTGCAGCTACAAGGAGTACCGCACGGCGGAGCTCTCGGAGCTGCTGCCCCTCTACATAGACACGCTGGATCTGTCGTGGAATGCGCTGGACAGGGCGCCAGTCTTCAGCAGCGACAGCCTGCACCAGCTCAATCTGATGCACAACAACATCAGCCAGCTGAGCGGCAACAACTTTGCGAAGCTCGTCAGCCTGCGGGAGCTGTACCTCAGCTGGAACAGCATTTCGCAGGTGGAGCCGCAGACCTTTGCGGGTCTGCCCCATCTGCAGGTGCTCGATCTGGCGCACAACAATCTGCGCTCGCTGCCGGGCCAGCTGCTGGCTCCGCTGCTGGTGCTCAGCTCGCTGGACCTCTCCTGGAACCGCAGACTCAACGAGACGGCGCAGCTGCAGGCGGCAGATCTGTACAGCGATCTGGGCATCAACTGGCAGCTGAACACACTCCGCCTGGATGCCTGCAGCCTGCGGGAGCTGCGCCTGCCCGCTGGGGCTCCACTGAAGGAGCTCTCGCTGCGGCGCAATCTCTTCCGGCGTGTGCCTGCCCAGCTGCCGCTGACGCTGCTCCAGTTCGACATCAGCGACAATCTGCTGGAGCGCCTGCTGCCCGAGGACACGGCTAACCTCACGCAAGTCCGCCAGCTGTTTGTGGAGGACATGTCCCTGCTGGAGGGCGTGGCCGCCAATGCGCTGGCACGCCTCGAGCTGCTGGAGTCGCTCAGCTTCCAGAACAGCCGACACATGAACCACTTCGACGGCGACGCCTTCGGGGCCCTGCCAAAGGCAGGCTCGTCCTTTCCCACGCTCCGTTCGCTGTCCTTTCGTGGCACCATTTTGCGCTCTCTTAACGCCTCGCTGTCGCCGGTTTTTGGACAACTTGCCGAGCTGGATCTCAACGGTCTGCCGCTTCACTGCGACTGCGAGCTGGTCTGGCTGAAGCGGCTGCCCGTCGAGACTGGCGGACGCTGCTTCAAGCCGTCCCGCATCCGCGGCATGCTCGTCACCTCGGCCCGCCACGAGGCCTTCAGCTGCGACACCTGGCCCCGCTGGGCCTACGGCCTGGTGGTGCTCACCCTCATCGCCCTCTGCGCCGTCGGCATCTACCTGATTGTGATGGGTCTGCGGCCACATCGAGGCGTCACCATGCGCAGAAAGGTGGGTGCTGGCAGTCCCTATGCGCGCGTCACCATCGAACCCAATCGACAGGAGAATCTGAGTTAGACCACCAGTTTTGTATGCATTTCCAACCCATAAACAATTGAATATTTAAGTGTATGAAAGTGAGGAATCACTTCTGTTTGGGGTTGGGACTTTGAACGAGAGTCAGCCATAGATTAAATCATTCTGGCTGGTGGCAAAACGATCCACGGCATTCACGTCGTAGGGCTCCTCGAGGCCGCACAGATGGGGAAAGCGGGGATTGGGGCCCGTTTGGCAGCCGGCAGCCGCTTGGTGGCCGCTGGCATAGGGCGGCTCGTGGTAGACACTCTCGCGGGCGAAATTGCAGACGATGAACTGCTGCAGCCAGCGCAGGCGAGGCTGCCGCAACACGCCACAGCCCATGTGGGTGGCACGCTCCTGCACGAGCTGCCGGAAGCTGGCGGTGGCTCCGCGGAGATCGTCCGGCACCAGGCCCTCTGTGGCCCGCTTGTACTCCTTGAACCAATTGTAGATCTTGTGGCCGATCAGCTGGCGATCGCTGAAGCGATACGCACTGAAGATGACGTGGCCCACGATCTGGCCGACGTGCTTGAAGCGCCTGGTGTTGCGGCACTTGTCCGTGTCCAGAGTGCACTGCCTGACCGCCAGCTCGGCGAGCGTCGCCAGTTCGGGGTCCCACTGGATGCTGGCCATGCGGTCGGCGGCCGCAAAGTGGCGGAATGTGCCCGAGGCCACACGATTCCGATAGAGATTCACTTGGCGCACAATAAACTCCTGCAGCTCGGCACTCAGCGGCAGCAGTCGGGCCTCGCGCCTGCACTGCGCGCCCAAGCTCTGGGGGGAGGAAAAACCAGCAGATAAGGATACGGGTTAAGGCATGAGCTGAGGCTGCTCCCTACGCCATTATTGTTGCAGGCCACGTGCTCGAGTGCTGAGCCCGAGCACCAGTGCTGCTGGCAGTAGTCCCAGCCATGACAGCCGGAGAACGGGCACAAAAGGACGACCAAAAGGATGTGCGACACACGAGACATGCTGATGCTGTCGGACTGATGTGCGGCGGCAGTTGCAGTCGCAATTTGTTTGTTTGCGCGACACGCCGACGGCTGGCAAATGGCGATTTGCATGGCCCGCAAGCGGATGGGAAGCGAAACCTGTCACAGCGGCCATCAGTAGACATGGCAGTGGACAGGCGGCTGCACCTTTGGCTCTGCATTTGGCTGTGTCTCCGCCTCCGCTGCTGCCTGTGCGAGCAGCAGGAGTTCGACTTTTGCGCGCAGGGCGCCTGCTTCGAGGGCACTGGACCACACCTGGCCTGCACACACTCGCGGGTAAGTGGGAGTCGACGGGGGGCTTCGACTTGAGGCGAGCCCTGCTGAAACCTTGTCAGACATTCGACAGCGCAGCGTGTCCTGCGGGCGCACAGCTGCTGCGGATTGACAACTCGCTGGCGCGCTACATCGTCAGGGAGCACAATGTGGCGAGGAATCAGGTGGCGCGTGGCACGTTCCACAAGCTGCCGGCAGCGCAGCGCATGCTGACGGTGCACTGGGACGAGCGACTCGCCTGGCTGGCGGAGCTCAGTGTGATGAAGTGCCTGCTGCAGCGGCACAGCTGCATTCGCTCGCCATCCTACCAGTTGCCCGGGCAGAACGAGGCCTACAACAAGTTCCGCGGCGATCAGGATCCCCTCAAGATCCTGCGCTCGCAGCTGAAGGCGTGGCAGGACGAGTACATCTATGTGGATCTGACCACCATTCTGGGTGGCAATAATCTAACCAAGTGAGCTGTCTGTCTGCCGCCAGTCAATCTCTTTCAATCGCTTTCATCTGCTTGCTGCTCCTCCAGGCAGGACGTGGGACACTATCTGCAGATGATCACCGCCTCCGTCGAGGGCATAGGCTGTGCCATGGCGCTGTACACAAAGGACAAGTGGACGTACCATCTGACAAAGTGCGTCTACAGCTGCTACCACGACTGTCTGCCCATCTATCCCACGGGACACCTGCCCGGCGAGTTGTGCCGCTTTGGCATCAATCAGGCCTACCGGGCTCTGTGCTCCGACAAGGAGCGTCTCATGTGCGACGAGTCCGACTGCTGTGATCTCACGGATCCAAAGAGCGCGCCACTGGATGAAGCGCACGACAGCCAGAATATAGCCGCTCGTTACAGGAACTTTGCCATGCCAGGCAAGCCCCTGGGCCGATCCCGAAGGGCTGCCTACAAGGAGGTGTTGCAAAAAAGGACCAAAGCTGGTCTAAAAACACGAAAGAGAACCGCGAAACATTAGCTTCAAGCTGAATACAAACGATTTGCACAATTCGTCACATACAAAATGGAATTCGATGTGGCCGCAAGTGGCAGCTTTTCCCCGAGATTTCTGCTTCCTGCCATTTAGTTGCTTTGCGAATATGAAGCGCTGGGGTTCCATGCTGTGGTACGCAGCCGCTTTGCTGCTTCTGGTCCAGGTCTGTGCCAAGAAGATGCCAAAATACTGCAAGCGGATGAAGCGGCCGAGCAAGACCAGGACGGACTACTGCAGCGTGGCCTCCTGTGCGGGCCAGGCCAATATTGGCTGCAAAAATGAAATGGTAAGTCGCCCACAGGCACCAGGATCGGATCCCAGCTGATGCTCTTTGTTTTTGGCAGAAATTCATAACTGGCTGCGTGGGCAACATGTTCAATATATCCGCCGCGACGCGTAACTTCATTGTGCGGCAACACAACACATACCGCAACATTGTGGCCAGGGGCAAGCTGCACGATCTGCCGCCCTCCGGCCGCATGCTCAAGATGCAGTGGCACGAGGAGCTGGCCGAGCTGGCACGCTTCGCCGCGTATCGCTGCTCCATTGGCAAGGTGTATCGATGCTTTGCCACCATGGAGTACGCGGGTGCCGGCTACAACATGGCGTACAACAAGTTTCCCGGCGAGCAGGACTACCTGAAGATTGTGCGGGCACAGCTGAAGACCTGGTACGAGCAGTACCAGTACTCGAATGCCAAGAGCATAGTGACGGGCAAGGCACCCGGCGGGTGAGCGCAATGCATTTGCATCCACCGATTGGGATACTGATTCGTTGGATATTTTTTTGCAGCCAGGAGATTGGACACTTTCTGCAGATTGTCTCGGGCCTAAGCGATCGCATTGGGTGTGCCATTTTCAGATCGAGGCACTTTGGCTTCAACTATCAGGCGCTGATCTGTGCCTACAGCTGCTCCAAGCCGACCAAGGTGCCCGTCTACAAGCTGTCCCGCATTCCGGCCGAACACTGCACCTGCGGCTCCGATCACAATCACAAGAATCTGTGCAGCGCCTTCGAGCGGGTCCCCAGCTGCGAGGCAGAGCCCCCCAAGGACCTAGCCCATGACATGACAGTCATGGGCCTGGACTACGAAAGCACCTGGAATTTAGACAAGAAGGCTCTCAATACGTCCAACCCGGTGCAGAATGTCGCCAATTTTATTGAGGGACAGGCCACGTAATGCTTTAACGAGCATTTTCACGCATCAATTGTGCAAATAAACGCCTGAAACGTAGTCTCCTCCACAGTTTGTTGTAGTCACCTCCCAGCTTAGAGACAATGCAGTTCGCATTTGTCGCACATCGAATGGATTTATGCCGCACTCTGTTGCGGCTTCAATTCAATTAAAATCCGTCAACGTGGCTGTGCCACATTCGCGGACAAATGCAATTTATGGCACTGGGGGGAAGCCAGCCGATATTAATAATAATAATAAAGTGTATAATAGTCGCTGTCATAGATACTCGACCGTGGATTGGGTGGAGGGAGAGAGTTGCCAAGAGATTTACGAGCTTGCCCAGGGGCATTCGCATAAATAAATATTTATTCCCACTGACAAGGGGACAAATTATTAGACCTGACCGCGACTGGCAGCCGGCTGGCAATTAAATGCCACATCGAATGAGAGGCAAACTCGTGGCTCGCGAATTAATTAAATGCCCCCTCGGACATCTCCGTTCAGTTACCTGTTAAAAGTAGACTATTAAAAGTTTTCAGCGTATTGCAAGTAGAAAGTTTCACTTGCTATTTGAACCATGAACGCAGCAGAAGGCAATGGGTTAAAGCCGAGACGAATATTATCTGATGTAGATGTGAAATTGAGCCCCACACAAAGGGCACACACTAATGTGTCGTAGAACTGCAAGTTGTCAGAAAATTATTGACAAGTAATTTGCATTTCATTACGACAATCTATCAATGACGACGGCAAGTCCCGTCTAGGCGCCGTCATCAGCGACACTTTTGCATATTAATTCTGAAGCGTTTTCACACTACGAGTGGTGTGGCTGTGTGGCGGAGTGGGGGTACGGCACTGGGCTCTCACCGCGCTTGCGCGCTGGTTGCGTGTGCCACTGGCCCAGTGCCACGAGTTGCATGCACCAGCAGCAGCTCGGAGTTCGTTTCGGAGTCCGAAACTCAGAGCTGTGGCAGGCCAGACAGCATCCCAGTGCTGTGGCATGTGGCAGTTGTATCAAGTGCGGCGAGGACAGTGCACGTGCGCGGGCGCTTCATTTTGTGGATGCAAAAATATTACGTATACGTCGTGTGAGACATTCATTGAGTGGGGCAAACGGTTCGTTGTGTCTGTGTGTGTGTGTGTGTGTGTGTCTCGTTAATTGTGCGCTTGACTCTTGACACTGAATGCGAATTATAAACGGCCTAAGCCGCTTACAATATCCCCCCCTCCCCAGTGGTTGGCTGTTGCTCCTGATTCTCCTTTTGCTGCTGCTTTTGCTCGTTCTCGTTCATCAATAAATTATTATGTCCTAATACCAATTGACAGCAATGGGAGCTTTGGGGAAGCATGAATAAAATATCAAAAGCATTTTGTACCCCCCCCCCCTTTGCTTCCACTTCAAAACATTGCTCCCCTCGCAGCCAATCCCCTCTCTCCCCATCGCTTGCGTACAATCCAGTTATAATCAGCGAATGAGCTCCCCAGGCGTGTGTGAGTGTGTGTATCGCATCCCTGTTTGCATTTATTAAATATTCAGCGTTTATACGCATTCGTGCGCCAAACAAAAAGAATAAGAACAAGCAGAGATAAAAAAACACACAAAATGTTGCTTTTTCGCAACATTGGGCAAAGCCAAACAATCCCAATGTCTATCGACAGTGTGACCGCAGCTCCTATAAACTTACAAGCTCCACTCTCCCACAGTCGCTCTCCCTCTGGCACACTCTCCATGCCCCTTGGCCAGCTTGGCGAGTCATGTTTACTTAATGGATACGCAAGGCAACTATTAAGTGCTCCCCCAGCTTCCCTTTCAGCGAGCGAGCCAACGCTTTAGCAATTTATTATCTCAGCTCTCCCATCGTTGCTGTGGCCTTGGCCAGACATTACACCCAACATTGGCTAGCCTCGTGGTGGCCAAATTGGTTGTATTTGCATTTTGGCCTAAACTGCAGCTGGCAGCTGCCCAGCCGCAAGTATAATTTGAAAGATGAAATAAAGACAAAAGTGTGTCATCAAAAGTTGTACATCCTCTGTGAGGGTATACTGGTAACGGTACTCACACTCAGCTGTCGCCTGGCGGCCAGTCATTAACTGTACTTATTGTCACACCTGCACACAGACATTAACACAGACGCAGGCCATTGAGAGCCACTCCTGCTGGCACATTAGCGGCGGCAGCTGCAGAGAGACCCAAAATAACACTTAATCTGAATTAGCTTCAAAGATTTGAATTAGCTCGGGGACAGGCCGTAGGCAGAAATCGTACACAGATTGCCAGCCAGCGTATCTTTTGACCATTCCCGAACCCTTTTTCCAGGCGCTAAAGAGGAAAAGTAACAACAAGAATCTGTCACATTCTATCTGTGCCTCTGCGAGCTACCACTTTAACGCATCTCCCACCCATCCTTGCCTCCTCTCAGCACTTGCTTTTTCTTTGTTAATTTTTATGCGCACTTTGCTGCTGCAGAGACAGAGAGGAGGAGCAACAGCAACAGCAACAGCAACTAAAACAACAACAACAGTAGCAGCAGCGACACCAAAGGCAAGGCGAGGCGAGGCGAGGCGAGCGAAGCAAAAGCCGAAAAGAGAATTAAGAAAGTTGAAGAGCGAGCAGGAGACACCGCCAGCGGGTGGTCGGTCTAACAGTAACTTAACTTCATTTACGTCTGAAAACGCAGTTGAAATAAACGACTTCACGACGCTGGCGGATTTTCTAAAAAGTAAGTTAAGCCTACGCATTCCCTTTCCTTTTCTTTCCCTTCTCTCTATACAGTTACCCCTCAAGCAGTTTACGTTCGCAGCATTCTCTCACCCACAGCCGGCGACTACCTGCTGGCCTCTCATTAACGGTTAGGTGAGATGTTGTCAGCTGTTGTTGTAAGCGAGTGGAAGAGCACGAGAACGGGAGAACGGGAGAGAGCAGCCAACTCGAAGGCATTTGGACGGTTGGCATTGTTTTGTGCGAGCAGCAAAGTTCAGAGTGGAGCAGAGTGGAGCGGATGTAATGCTGATGTCAGCTATTTCTGGGACTCGGGATTCCTTTCAGCCAAGCGCCACTAAGGAAGTACAGTCGGAGCCGCATTCCAGGGTGCTTCCTTCCGTTAATTCTGCACTGAATATCGTACAATGGTCGCTTCGCTAATTAAATTTCACGCGCGGGGGAATAAATACTCGTCAGCTGATGGCAGCAGAATCTTTTGATGCTCGTAGCACACTTTTGCGGCGCACTTTGTGGTTTTGTTTCTGTTCACAGGCAATTGCATTCGCACATGCAGCAGGATGCAGGTGCATGCGGTACGCTGCATGCGCCAGCAATATGGCCTCGCTTGGTTGGGCCTTAGGCGACGATGGCAACAGCTGGCGGCACAAAAATATTAAAAGTTTTTTACCTACAGCATCCTGCCACATGGCACCACATCCTCTCACCATGATGTTACTGCTACGATGGGGATGGGCGGAGAAAAACCGAAAAATGTCACACAAATATGTCGCACATCCATGGACAAAGGGGATTTATGTGCACGAACATTCCCACTATCGTGTGGCTGTGCTCTCTCTCTCTCTCTCTTATGACAATGACGGCCATGCAAATTTATGCCCGGCCAGGCCCAGTGTGCACTAGACAATACATAATGTTCCCAGCATAAAGCGGTCCAAAAACCACGGAGCACCAAACAAAAACACTGCACTCGATTCTCCCCCAGATACAATTTTCATTTTCATTTTCATTCTCATGGCTGAGGCATGCTGCAGAATATGCTGTAATGCGGGGGGCGGGTGCGGGGGTAAACATTAAATAAAAACCAAAAATAAAATTATGCTTATTTTTCCACATCCCCTCTTGTGGTGGATGTGCTCGAGTGTGGCTTCTCTTTTGTAGGAGAGGGTCCTCGCAAACTTGCCAACGACACAAGAAACTTTCCCTTCGAGCACTCTTCAAATTATGCTTTTCCCTCTCTCGTTTCTGTGTGTTTTCTGTGTGTGCTTCTTATGTTCTTATGGGTGGGGGAAAAACTTGCTTACACCGAATTCAAGAGACGTTAACAACGTTCTCCGTTCTTCCTTTTATTTATATAGAATATACGTATTGCAGGATAAGTAGCACAGAAACAGAGTACAACTGGGGGGGGGGGACAACTGTAAAGATTCTCAAGTTTTATGGTGTGGGAATGTACATGTACAAGGAATGGAAAAATGACATGCCATTTAATTGGATGCAAGATGATGTGGTACCTTCGTAGCTGTGTTTGTTTGTGCAATTAATGAAGCATCAGGAAACATTAGCATATTTCTTTGAATAAATTTGCCATCAAATTGTTCCCAAAATGCCCTTTAAATTGATGCATCCGAATAACATCGCCTAGAAAATGTCACGCTCCCATCTCTATTTCACGCTCTTGCCAGGGAGAAGCCTTGAGAAGACGCTCCAAATGTTATCGCTTCGTGCTTATCGCAAAACGCATCGCTGCGGCAGCGCAGGCAGGCAGCTTCGGATTTGTGGGTGCTGAAAGTGAAAAGGGGAATACTTACTCGTGTGCGACAGTTTGCCAAATTGTTAATGCTCAGCATTCGTTTCGTTCGCCTTGTGCTTTTTCTTTTGGCTGCTGCTTCGGCTGCTTGCCGTTTGCTTCTGCTGCTATCGACTTTGTCTCTCGCTTGGTCCCTCGTCCGCTCCTACGGCGGACCTTGCCTTCTGCGTGGCTTGTTGTTGTTCTTGGCATTATCATTGTATCGTCATCTTCTACTTCTACTTCTACTTCTCTGCCACCTCTACTCCTCAGCTGCTCCTTGGTCACATTTCACATTTTTATTTTATTCCTCTATACGTTGTTTTTTGTGTCTGCCGACGCGTCGGTCGTCGGCTAGTCGGCAGCGAATGAGGAGAAGGAGACGGAGAATGAAATGCTTCTGCAGGCGTCTGGCGGTCGCGGCGCCAAACTTTCTTTATGACCTCTGCTCTATATCCCAGATACATACATATGTACATGTCTTGCTCCTCCTTCGTCTCTTCCTCTGTGTCTTATGCGTGGGTGACTGTGCGCTGCTGAATTGATTGATAAGGTTTCTGTGAACAAAGCAAAACAAAGTAGAATAGAAATAGAAATGGAACTCCTCCTCCTGTACGTGTACGTGTGTGTGTCGCCACAGTTTATGATGTTTACGCTGGCATTTCAAGATTGGGCACACACGCACAGCGATGATGACAGGACAAGGCAACATTCAAATACAGACAAAAGCTTGAAGCTTCCAGAGAAATGGCCGGCGGCGGGCCGGGAAGCTCAAAAACTTTCCACATAAAATGAGCTGAGGGTAAATAAGAGCAAACGGGGCAAAGGGGAAGAGAACCGCAAAACGTTTGCTTAGTTATCCCCGGCAGCATCTCTGAAAGTTTTCGTTTTCGCTTTAATTCCACTTTACCGTTGCTGTTGCCCTTGCTTTTGCCTTTCGCTTTGCCTCTTTTTAAGCAAATATTGTGTATGCTAAGGATTGCCTGCAGCTTTGTTGCAGGTTACAGCCCTCCCCGCCCACATGTGACTCAATCTCACAGAGTCGTTGGGCAACAACAAACAAGGTGGCCAATAAAAAAAACATTCAACTAATTCTAGTCGCGTTGAAAGTTCTTCCACCCCTGCCCACTGACCTGCCCTTCGCTGCCCTGCCCCACGGTTGTATGCAACTAATTACGTGTGTTACTTTGTGTGAATAATTGCTCGTGTGTGCGAGTGCGAGGGTGTACTCAATGGCCATATCTGGTAATTGCCTTTGCCTTTTTTATTGCCTTTCGGGTGCCAGCTTAATGACCATAGGCGTGTCCAGGATTTGCCCCCCAGGCTCCAGGGTCGTCAAGTGAGCGTCGTCACAGGCCCTGGGGGGTATGGGGAGTAACTGGGTGTAATGGGTGCAGAGAAACAAAACTTTATCAATTAAATTTGATGAGAATATGAAGAGGATCTTGGCAGGTTCAGTTCCTTGGCTTATGATCTCTTCGCTTCCTGTCATGGGTTGGTAAAAACATGGAAGAGCGCTGTAATCTGCTGCTTTCTGCCTCTCAAATGTCCTAGCTTAATTATCTGGCTTTCTTTCGCTCTACCGTCCATTCGCTGAGCCGCTACTGAGCTCCATCCCCAAGGGTGTGCAGAGGAAGAACGAACGCCAATCTGGAGGTTAATTATCTCTCTGTGCTTTACAGCATACTTTTCAGAGTCAATCGATGGCTGGCCACTGCAGTGGGAGAGTGGAGAGCGGCAAGCGGCAAGCGGCAAGCGGAGCGACAAGAATGCCTGTCACTTGCCGCAGCTACTTGCCTCATCCCACGCTCCTTTTTGTTGGCGCATTTTATGACACAAGTGTAATATAATTCATATTGTACCAAAAAATTTAATGCCCCCTGAAAAATAACTCCCAATAAATAATCCTTAATGTCCCATGTGCATGAGTATGCATGAGTGTGTGTGGGTGGGTGTCGTGTGTGTTCAGCCGCTTCCCTCCTGACCTATGCTCTCCTCCATCCATAAACAAGGCGTGGCACGACACTCACACGACTCTGCTCCCACTCTCTTCCTTTCACTCTTTGTGCCGTTTTTGTTGTGTGTTGCGGTCGCATCTCTTGTTGCTGTCGTTGCTGCTGATGTTGCTGGGGCCACGTCACGCCCTGACAGTATTATGACGTGGCTTGTCGCCTGCCCCAGACTTTGAATCTCGGACTGCGACACGCTCTTCCTCCAAAGGAGCAGCATGAAACGAAGCGAAAAATGCTAAAACTGAAGCATTGCCGCGACAAATTTGTCAACTTTGTCAACGAAAAAGGCAACGGAACGGAAAGGCGAAGCCCCACATACCCTGGCAGACTCAGCGCTCTACTTTGTTTTCAATTTAATAAGGCTTCAGCTAGGCAACACCTTCTCTGCAGGGTATGTAAATATAATAATTTCACTAAATTATATTCTGTTTTTTTGTGTTACTTTAAACTTTATTATTATTTATAGGCTTAGGTAAATTGCCCTTTGGAATGAACCGCCATGGCCCATGGCCAGTGATTAATTAATTTCCCAGGGCATTTACCTCACCATCCGGGCCATCCCTGGCCACGAGCTTGCACCAAAACAATTCCCTGGGCATCAGGTGGAAGCCGGCAATGCTGCCCATCATGTCCGTTGTGGTGCGTTCGGCTGGCTCCAGTCGGAAGCGCAGGACCAGTCGATATAGCAGAGCCTTCACCTCCATCAGTGCCATGCGATTGCCGATGCAACTGCGCTGCCCAATGCCGAAGGGGAGGTAGGTGAAGGGCTTTATCTCGTGCTTGTGGTCATCGTCGAAGCGCTCTGGTCGGAACTGCTCGGGCTGGGGGAAGTTGTCCGGGTCGTGGTGCAGGGCAATGACAGGAATATTGATGAGATCGTCCTGCTTGAGCTCCACCACGAGGTTACCCTCCTCGTCGCGTAGCTGGACGTCCGAGCCGCACATGCGATCGAGGACAATGGCCGGTGGCCACATTCTCAGGGACTCGGAGACCACACAGTCCAGGTACTTCAGGCCCATTAGAGTGTCAAAGTCCAGGGGCTTGCCGCCCAGCTGCTCCTCCGTTGCCATGATCTCCTCATAGAGCTTGTCCTGCACCTCGGGATTCATGAGCAGCTCGTGGCTGGTGAAGCACAGGCAAGTGGCCACCGTTTCGAAGCCAGCGGAGAAGAAGAGCAGGCACTGGGCCAACAGATCCTCGTCGTTGAACTCGGCACGATCCTCCGGTGTGGTCGTCTCCTGGGACGCCTCCTGCTCCTCTCTGAACTTCCTCTGGGCTTCCATCAGCTGCTGAATCATGTCGGGGCGTACGATGTTGTGCTCCTTGCGATGCTCAATGGCGCCAAAGACCAGCTTCTTGAAGTAGTCTATGTTGTTCATGTCCATCACGGGAACTCGAAGGAACTGACAAGAGAAAAATGGATCTCAGCTTTAAGTCTGCAATGAAGTCAAATCTGTGCTTACATTCATGAGTTTGGGCAGCAAGATGAAGAGCATCACCTTGAGGATGACCCAAATACTGAACTGTGAGACTCGCTGTCCGATGGTGAAGAACTCGTTGTTGGGGTCCTTGAAGGAGTTCACCTGTATGCCAAAGGCCGCCGTGGCAATCACATCGTTTGTGTAGCGTGTGAAGAACTCCTTCAGCTCCAGCTCTGTGGCTCCATCCTCTGTCAGCTTCCGCTCCAGGTATGCCACCGCCTCCACATTGCAGGCCTGAATCAGCTCGAACATGAGACGAATCTTGAGGCTGGAGAAGCTCGGCGTCAGTGTGTTTCTCATCTGCTTCCAGCGACGGTCGCGCAGCGAGAGCAGGCTCTTGGACAACAGGCTGCTGCTGTCGGTACCCCCATCGCTGATGCCCTTTCGATGGTTGGTGAAGTTCTCAAAGCTCTTGATGCCCACCTGGCGGATGAGTTCCGGATCGGCGATATATAACAGTGGATCGCGCATGCTAAAGACGCCATAGACCTTGTGCTCCTTCAGACGCATGTGCACCGCAATGCTGGAGAACAGGGGGAGAGAATGTTGCACTAATCGAAGTTATGGCATTTCTGGTACTTACCTTTGCTTCGGGTAGGAGCCCTTGCCGAACAGCATGGGCAGCGGAATGTTGCCCAGCAGCGGAACGGGCGCCTCATGGACCACGCCCCGTTTCAAAAAGTATCCAACTGGAGGCTGGGCCCATTTGTACAGCAAGTAACCGATGAGCGCCGTGAGGGCCAGTAGCACCTCGAAGGCCATTTCACGGGTAGCTAGAGTGGGTAGAGGGGGGAGGTGCGTGCTAGTTTGATTTCACAGGGGGGGGGGGGGGATAGCTCCAATAACTTGAAAAGTGTCGCTGCCGGCCCGAATGCTGAAATGCCACTGAAATAAACAATGTTTGCTCTCTTCTCTTATATGCAAAGCTTTTTGTGTGCCGGCGAACCGGCAAAGTGTGAGCATGTGTTGGTGAGCGAAACGTTTTGTGTGCAGAACGGCAGAAAGAGCGCGAGAGAAAGAGAGCGGGAGAGCGTGTTAGCTTATCAATTAGCTGGAGCATGTTGAAATCTAATGGAGTAGGAAATAAATATATTTGTAATATGAAATTATGGATAAACGAAAGAAGCCAAAACATGATAAAAAGAAAAATGTTAGAGAGTAAAATGAAGTTGATTGGAGTTTCTATTAGGTTTATGATGCAAGATGTTTATTAAAATCATAATACCCTCTGCAAGGGTATACTCTTATAACTCTCTGCTAAAAGAGAGCAAAGCCATGACGTAAGAGGCAGGCGGCTTATAGACCGAATTTCGACTTGCAATATTGTTGCCCAAATTTATATTTTGGGAGCATTAACAGAACATATATATTTATTTCCTTCTCTTTCTGTTTACTTTGATTGCTATTTAGTTGTAGCGTAGAGCGTAGAATAGATAGAGACTACCATGGGACGAATAAGCCGTGTATCGGCAAAATGAATTATCAAACCAATTTCTATTGTGGTCACAATGTTGCAGTGTCGATGTTGAAATGGAAATCCCTTGTAGTTTGCTGATATGATAACAAAATGATAATGTTATTCAAATTACACGTCATGCGGAATGTGGGGGGGCGTACGGGGCGCTAATGAAAAACTCAACGAGCAGTAGATTCAGCGTACGTTCGAGTTGGAGTTGGCATTTGGCATGTCATGGCTAATCACATTGGCATAAACTAATTTCAGCATTAATCCCCTTAAGTGACTCAACTATTTATTATAAAGGACTTGGCGGGGCACGTGCCGGGGATCTGCTTTTTCTTGTTTGTTTCTTAGATCTCAAATGGGAGCCCAAAACAGGCACAGAAATTAAAGTTCTGTCACCTTATGTACACAAAATCTACCAAGTGCATATACATATGTACATATTATGTGTTTGTTGGAGTGGTGGAAGCATAATGAAATTGCTCAGAGAGTTTAGCAGGCTTGGAAAACTTTTGTGTGGCCGTGGCAGGTCTCCCACTCACTAATGCGATAGGAGGCAAAGACGTTTATGGCCTCGGTCCCAGCCCCATAACTGATTATGCAATCAGCTCACGTCTCAGGCAAATGACAAAATTTGCTTGCATTTAGTTGGAGTCTAACAAGAAATTATTGCACTACTCAGAAGGAGAGTGAGAGTGAGCCGCATTGAAGCATGGCTGAGCGAGCGAGAGCGACAGACGCCACGGACAAATACAGTTATCTTTGAGCGCATGCTAATGTTCGCCACTCCCCCCGCTGCGAATAGTGCTCGAAAGGGGAATATCAGAGAAGAGCTAAATCAATCGCATTCAGCTTTTACTCTCTTAAGCTGTGTGCTCAGCTGAGTGACTGCAGGGTGTACCACTAATGCCAGCAATAAGGTAAGGCAATCACGGAGAATCGGTTACAGTTACTCTGGCGACACAAGTGAAGTTTATCCGTGGAGACGTGCTCTGCCTTACCCGTTTTATTGGTGCACTCTTTTGCTGAAGGCTGGGATTCTAGTGTCAAGCTTGGATTCTTTTCCTTTCCTTTTGTTCTCTTATTGGTGGGCAAACATTTTGTCTGCTGTGGAACACCCGGGAATTGAATCTCTATATTCTCTCCTCTTTTCCCCCATTCAATTTCTAATGTGTTTACACTGGCACAGGGCGTGGATGTGGGGGTGGGGGCGAGTCTGAATACCGAAATGGCCATGTACTTGAAGTCAGGTTTTTTCTTTTCTTTTGCATTAATTTCCTTTGCAGGCATCAACCATTTGAATTTAATGTTCTCTGGCTTGTTTTTGCTGTTTTCGATTCTGTTTTCGGTTTCTCTTTTCGTTTTCCATGCTCTGCCGTGGCCTTTTCATTGCAACTCAAGTGCCGCCCGCAAAACTTGAAAGATATCCCCTTGTCGACTGCCACTTGCCTGCCCGCCCTGCTCTGCACTGCTCCTCCCCTGTGGATATCTCTGGTGTCCAGTTTCGGGGCAAATCAAACAAGCAGAGTAAATATTTTACCATTTCGACTCTAATTAGTCCAAATTCTTGTGTTTTCTCCTATCGACAACGGATATGGAAGATGCTACGAGAGGGCTCCTATACATGCTCCCGCGACAGCAGAAAACATTTGCTTAGGGCTTGTGTGTGTGTGTGTGTGTGTGTGTGTGTGCTGTGTGTGTTTTGTGGCAGTGAGAAAGCAGAGACATTGGATTATTCCTTGAGCTTTAACGGGCTTCCCTCTCCTGTTACTTGTGTGTATTCTCCATCTGTTCCACCCCACTTGAAGTGTTCTCCAGCTGTCCAAAAATAAGAACAAGACGAATATACTCGTATGTTTTGCAAAGAAATGCTCTCCAGATGCCTTGGAGCTTACCAGTGCTGGTGCTTGTTTTTCCATTCTGGTTATCCTGCCATTGGAGAGCTTACATTTTGATTTGTTTTGCTTGTTTGCGTGCTCTTTTGCTGTCTGTGTTCATAATTAAAATAAATAAATAACTGGTAAAACATTGAATGACAAGATACTTGCATATTTGCATTAATTCTTTAGAAGGATCCCCGTGCGCCAAAAGGTATGCTGCATATTCGTATCACTTTCTTAAGGATGCTCGCATGGAAGTTCAGCAAATAAAATGCATCATCTAGACCAGTTTGGGACCAGTTACGGCATTGGATAACTGCTTATTGGAATGCCAAAGATGTTTCTCCCCGATAATCGCGCCATAAAAGGCTTAACCAAACTGTATAGTGGAGACGCCAACTGGGGGAGGAGGGAGGGCGTACATGCCATATAAAATGTTAATTTATTGCCATTGTGGGCTATTCCACAAACGATATTATTATGCAATCGCATACAAAACAGACCAGAAAAACACTAAACACAATACAATGAAATGAACGAATATTTCTCTATGAGAAACGGATAGCGTTTTGGCACAATTTTGCGGGTTTTTGGTTGGCAAAATCAACAAAATGCAATAAATATTTGAAAGAATAAAAACACATAACAAGGACAAACAATATAAAACATGAAAAACAGCACTGAGCAGCCTATTGATTCGAATCCATTCCAATCGTTTCGTCCTGTTACCGAAGATTTTTTTTTTTGGGCACATGGCCAAGGCAAGAACTGAGCATAGCCAGGGCCGACACCTGGCCGTACGTGACTCAGGCAAAGATACGAGTATTTATGTGTGTCGAAGGAAATCGAATAACATTTTTTATGCACGCATCAAATTTATGGCCCAGCCAGCTTCGCTTTCGCCCCGCCCGTCCCGTCTTCCGCAAATATGGACATTGCCAGATAGCCGCTTTTCCAGCACTCTCTTCTCTGGCAGATTTCCCGATTTTTCAGTTTTCAGTCAAATATTTGCAATGCGAGTCCTGTCACGTGAAATGGGAGACGAGCAGCCTGTTCTGCGGCTAATTTGCTGTTGCATCAAATCACTATTGTCCACAGCCAGTCACTGTGACAGTGAACGCTGGTGGAGAGCATCTCTGGCGGGCAGCTGGTGGAACAGTGCTACTGCGCCTAATATATGATAAGGATGTCTGTGTCTCGTTTCCACTCTCTGTTTTTCGATGCGCACTCATTCAAATTTATGCCTATGCCTAAACGCTGATTATGACAAATATGCCATGCTCCACTGGTTCTGGTTGGCTCTCCATTTCTGGCTCTGCTTCACGTTCTCCCTACCCATCCTTTTCTCTTCTGGGTGGCTTATTATTGCTGTAGGTCTGTTTTTGTTTGCCTTTCGACCAGTTGACGAAAATCCCAAAATAAATAAAAGTTTTATTATTAGCATGTGTACAGGTGTGGGGGGTGCAGCAGAGGGTGGCTGGCAGAAATAGCACAAAATAAAATGGAATCAAAGCAGGATTTCTGGCTCCAACATGATTGCCACTAATGACACGCACGCACAAGCACACCCGCACACCTAACACACACACACACACATGGACACATGGACAGTGTGTCAACAATTATAATGTGCAAATTGTTTGATACGTGTGCGTGCGTGTGTGTGTGCGTGTTTGTGCGCTTCTGTCACCTGCCATCACATTTGCTTTATTGCCGCTCATTAGAGATGCTCAACGAGGAGCGAGCACAACGAGAACCAAACCGAACCGAAGCGAACCCTTTCTCTTTCCTCTCCCTCTTTGGGTGTTGCTTTCTGGATTTCCCCACACATATGCATAAGTTTTTTTGTTTCTTTTGTCCATGCCCTGACCTCCGCCCTGACTCTTTCTGTGCGGGTTGGTGCTGGGATTTGACAGCAAGTGACAAAAGATTTTTTGCTCACCAGCTGCTCTGACACTTTGATGAATGGTGTCCTCGCCAGAGCTGTGGCCGTCAGGATATATATTTATGTACGTACAAGAGTGCAGGGAAGCGGGACACGAATTTTAAACGCTTTACAAATTGAAGTTCACACATACAACAATCATCTGTCCCCAAGTGTGGCAACAAAAAAACAAATGTTAAGAAAAACTACTAGCGATCGAACTGTGAATGATTAGTGAGAAAGAGATGGCCCATCCAAAAGCTTTAATGAGAGCGTGCTCTGTGCTTGACAAGAGAGCAACGAGTAGAACAGTTAGTTTAAGCAGTGCGTATAAGCTGCATGGCACTGCACTGCTTGACCTGAGCTACGCAGTTATGAGCAGAAAGAAAAACAATGCCAGAATCGTTTGCGTTAAAAGCATAAGCTCTTAAAACCATCCATACGCCTAATAATAGATTGCCTTTCAATTGTGCACAGCCATATTTTCATTTCAATTATTGTTTACACTCATCCAGGGATTACAATTTCATTTCATGATTCATGGAACTGCGTTCAGCGCATTGTCTCGGCACAATTGTGCGAATTGTTGCAAGCTGAAAACAATCGTCGGACTAAGCCCAAACAACAGAAAACTCTCCAAAAGCCAGCTATAGAGGGGTTCGGTCCAGTCCGATCCGGTGCTATCCCGGACTCCGTAACTAAGCCCAAAGCCAGGCCAACAAAAAAAGGATTATTTTGATTATTTTGCGTGTTGGCTACGTGGCTACATGCCAGCAGCAGAGGGAGAGGGTCGGGCCAGGGCCGTTCATTTCAATGAACTCGCTTTTCAAACGAAATTTTATCATGCCTGCCCAGGCAGTCGTTCGCTCTTCAATGACTCCGCATCTCCACGGCTGGGACCGAGTGCGTGGACCGAAAAAAAACAACACAAAAGAAAGTGGAACACAATTTGCTTATGTTTTCCTTTTCTTTTCTTGTCGTTCTCGCTTCAAGATATCCAATCCCTGTGGCTAACGAGCTGGCTCAGCTCCGGCAGCGGGAGAAACAAGAGGAGCAGCAGCAGCAGCGGTGGTGAGGATAAACGCGCCGTCAACGTTTACACGCTCCAGCAGCCGCATAAATTTCCGCTTCAATTGGACGTGTACAGCGGTGGTAATTGTAGCTTTGATTGCCACCACCACCAGCAGCAGCAGCAGCAGCAGCGGGAGGAGCTGGACAGGAACCATCCTTCACAGAAATCAACACTTTCCGCCTCTTTTGCCCAGCAGAATTCGCAGCCCAGACGCCGGCTGTCGCAAACTTGCGAAGCAGCAGCAGAAACCAAATTTATTGAAAGTTCAATGTGTAAGCCAGCAATAAATAAAAGCACCAATACCAATAGCAATCCATGAACAATCAGCAGCAATAAGAAATTTAAAGTAAAGTTTCACTCTTGAGCTGTCTCTCTCTCACTCTCACACACTGACTCCCGCAGCTGTGGCGTAGCTGAAGATGGAGCGGCGTCCAAGGTATACTAAAGGGTAGGTAAGGCAGTTCAGCTCTCTGGCTGGCAGTTCCTGAACTGCCTTACCCTATTCTTAGTAAGCTTCGAATGCGCCTTCTGCTGCTGTTTGATTTGACTGCTACATTTGCATAATTCTATAAAAGTCTCACTCATTCTCTCTCTTTCTCTCTCTCTCTCTTTCTTTCTGTGTAGCCCAAACCATGGACGACATGGTCTATCAGTGCAGCAATCAGAACTCCATTTATGTGCTTAATGCCAGCTATAATGCATATGGGGTAAGTTTTCCCTGCTAGCAGCCGCCCGCATGTGGTCTCCTATTCTCCTAACTGTCCAACCGTCTCCTATTCTGTCTTGCCTTGGCAGGACCTGGGCACATATGCGGCAACAAAGCGTGAAATAAATGGCAGCCAGAGCCGAGCAGCGGCAGCGCATCCAATTGAGGCAACTTGCTCCACGACTGCTGCGGGTGTGGGTGTGGGTGTGCAGCATAAATTCAAAAGTTCTGGCAGTGCCACAACAGGATCTTTAGGAGGATGCGCTTCAAACTACGTAAATCCTGTCGCTACATCAATGTCAACCACAATGTGTTCACCGGCAGCGACGGCCCTGCAAAAACTGTTCAATTGCAGCGTCGGCAATGCCTGCCAAAATGTCACCCACACTCACAACGGCAGCAACAACAACAACACACTCCACGGGAGCGGCCATAACAATGGCTGCCTGTCAGCGACTAGGGGAAACCTGTGCGAAGGGGGAGCGACCGGGGTGGCAAATGCAAGTGGAAGTGGTGCTGGAGTCCCAGCAGGTGGTGCGCCACAGCCGCTGCTGGCCAAGAAGAAATGCACCAATGTCAAATCGACGCTTATTGCCAAGAAGACAAAGTTTCTGAAATTTCTCGAAGAAGAAAAATGGAGGAACGCTGCAGCCGCAGCAGCAGCAGCAGCGGAGGATGAAGGAAGGGAAGACATCAGGTATGTATGGCAGTCAAGGATTCATATATACACACATACATATGTGTGTGTGTGTATGTGTGCTTGTACACAAGTGTGTGTTTGTGTGTGGGTGAAGCAAAAAAAAGAAACTTATAAATTCTCATAAATGTTACTTTGCGGCATTGAAGATTGTGGCAAGCTTCTTGGGGTTTATTGGACAAACGGTATTTTCGTCCAAGTTGCCACATGCCGGCGCTAGAGTGGTTTCTCATTAACTCGACAGAGATGAAAAATGAAACAAGTTCCATTGGAAATAAGTGGAAATATCTCGTTAGTTATCGATTACTGTCCCAACTAAAAAGTATAAATGGTGGCAGCAAGAGCAGAAATGGTTTTCCAACTAGATACTGCTGCAAACTCCCAATGCCCTCTTTGTTAGACGCTCTTTCTCATCGATTTAGCTCCATTGTGGGTCATTTTTTGTTTGTCCCAGTTTGGCCCCCTTAATGCTGCACTGAATGGCGCTTGCCTGCTTTCAATTAGCTGTCCAGCGGATACTTTGTTTCGGCGAAACTTTTCTGCATTGTTCATAAAGTCATAATCGGTTCTGATCCCCCCATCGCTTAGCAAACTTGCTGCCCTCCCCTGCCAATGCCTCCCGCTCTGTCGCCTTTATGCGGCCATTTGCGAAATTGAAAAAAATTTACGCGTTCACCATAAACATCAAGCGATATGAACGCAGTGGCACTGAAAGGCGGCAAAAGTTGATTAACATGCCAGCCCCTCGCCGGTTATGGTTCTGGCTTTGCCTGTGGCTGCGGCTGTGGCCCGGGGACGCCTCAATGGATTCCCATAACTGTGCATATTGAAGTGCAATAATCATATTTTACGGGTGCGCCACGGCACGGCACGGCACGCATGCGAGACGGCAACACTTGAGCGACGCCCAAAAGAGAAAAGTTGCCGCCAAAGCTGCCGCTGCATTCCCTGTACGCCCCGCCATCACTCTAAACTAAACTTTTCGTAGCTCAACGCGTGTCTCTTTCCACACACACACACACACAGCCTCTATTTTTTCTCCCCCGTTGCAATAATGATGTCAAAGTTCGTTCACTGAAAATTTCGATGCAAAGGCGGCCGGGAAAATTTCATTAATTTGCAGTTTCTGAGGGTGTTACGGGACGCCTGCTGCTGATGGAGGCGTTTCTGCTTTGATTTATTAGTACCCGGTGCACATTTAATTAGTAAGCGTCAGCAGAAGGCAAAAAATGTCCTCTCCTCCGTGCCGAGAGCAAATGCTGGTGCAAATTCTTTGGCGAACATTCATCAACTTTTGCGACACCGACAAGAATGACTCCATCAACTTTTGTTGCAAAATAACTTGCACAATTTTTCACAAACTTTTCTTTGGCAAGAATTTGCATTTGCACTTTTTCACAGTATTTTTGTATGCCGATAAGAGAGAGAGAGAGAGAGAGAGAGCAGTCAAGAGTCTTCTTTAATGGCCTCCGGTCGGGAATGAGAAGGTGTTTTCTGTCCGGGGCTTAATTTATTGTGGCCTGAAGTGAAAATATTCCCTGGATTATGGGGGAATTTGTATATTTTATAAGAGTCTGGGCTCAGGATCGATACAGTCTCACGGCCTTCACACTTTCTTTGCATTAGCACTATGTACATATGTATGTACCAGCCACAACCACTTCATAATCGTTGGCCTCCTTCCGCTCCACTTGCAACCATTTGATGCGCGTTTAGTTTAGTCAACCAGAAGCTAAATAAACTTTCATTTACCATGCTCGACAGCAATGAGGCGGAGCCCAGCTCAGCGGCCACGTTGTCGACAACATCATCGTTTGTGGGCCACTCAGGCGTGCAGGGGCGGAACAACAATGGCAGGCACTTGAAAAATCAGAGCAACAGTCAGGAAGCTGGCTCCTCCCGAACCAGAGCTGGGACTGGAACTGGGACGCAGCCCCACCAGCAGAATAAATTGAACAATTGGAGCATGCATAATGAGGACAGCAACAAACTGACCAACTACCCGCAGCAGCAGGAGCAGCAGGAGCAGCGGCAACATCAGAGCTATGTGAAGGAACAAACAAAATCAAGCTACGAACTGTACCAGGAGGCAGCCGACATTTTGGGCCTCAGCTGCAGTCTCTGTGATAACTGCCGCTGCCTGGACTGTCAAGTAAGATGGAGGAGGATGGAGATCCTGCCATAGAACAAGCGTAAGCCAATCACTCACTCACTCACTTGTTCACTGTATCGTTAACAGAGCGGCTACTTTGATTGCGACGACGACGACGAGAGCTACTCGGAACAGTCGTTGATGGACGATGAATACGATGACTACGACTACAGCGTGGAGGAGCTGCAGATGCTGCTGACCAGGGAGCATCAGTTGGGACAGGGGCCCGAGCAAACATTGTGCTATGCCGTGGACTGCCAGCAGAACTGCCACCTGCCCCAGGACGAAGCCCAGGAGCCACCAGCAGCTGGCCAGGGGAATGTGGAGCCAGAGCCGGAGTATGTTGGGGTCTCCGGACCCCATCGTGTGGCCATCGATTTTGATTTAATTAACGCCACTTGCAGCCAAGTGTTGCAAAATTGTGAAACCTTTAACGATTTGAGTTTGCTGGATGCCGCCGGCACCGAGCAGCGTCCGTTTACGTAAATACAGGTGAGTAGGCGGAGGGTCGGGGGAGTCCGCACCGCATGCGTGCTCATGGGTGGCATTTTTGGGGGAATTTTGTAAATTTCGCAGAGGTATTCGGGGTATGATAAGCGCATCCTTTGGCATGTGGACACATGAACGGTTGAGTTGTCAAAGCGTTGACAGTCTTCCTTTCATCTGGTCCATTCAAAGGGCTGACTCTTGTCAAACAGTAACTCGAGATGCTTCCAAGAAGGGTCTTAAATCCCTTTTTGGCCACAACAATTAGAGGAGAGGAGAGTGAAATTTGTTTGGGTCTTATGCAAAAATGAGCAAATTGCATTTCATAGTCGTACATCTACACAAAAAGGAAACAAATGGAACGAATGGTAAGCACTGAAAATTCCGCTGAGTTGGCAGAGCTCAGTGGGGCGTGCAGGGAGGAGGCAGGGGAGGTTGGGGCAGTGGGAGGACCCTGTGCCATGGACCGAGTTTGGTTACGAGCTGCCACCGCAACAGTGGCAATGGCCGGTACTTGGTCAGTTTATTGCATTTAGTCAAGTTTAGTTGTTGTTGTTTCCACGGACGATTGTTGCGAACAAATGAAAGCAGGAAAGGGCTGCCGGCTGGCTGCCGGCGGAAAGGGCCGTCAAATTTCATTTTCACACAAAAAAAAAAGGCAGCAGCAAATTTCACATATTCGCATATTTGTTGAGGGCTCAAAGCAATATGCAAAACATGCACTTTCTGTTGCAAGGGCATAGAACTATGAAAAATTCAGCGTCAGTTCGAAATGGCAAAAGGTGAAAGCCACTTGAATCGAATTACATTTAGCAAATTAAATTTAAAGAGCTGGCGGCCACCAAATCCCTGGGCCAAGTGAATAACGACTGCTACAAGCGGAGGCAATAAAGAGGCTGCTTGCCCGTCCGTCTCAGTGGCATGGCAGCCAGAGAGCCTGCCACCGCCTAAGACCCTCGAGGCTTAATGCCCCGGACACGGCTGCTGCGTGTGAGTAGCTGCGATAGAGCAGAGCCTTTGTGTGTGGATGTACGAGCATGAGCATGCCTGTGTGTGAGAGTGTGCGCCAAGTGCATTTGCCGTTGTTTAACCATCCACCAGCAGCGCGAGCTCAGCGGCTGCTCATGTACATACTTGTTCCCTCCTCTCCTCCCACTTCTGGCCAGCTGCCAGGCACACACTAAATTCCGTTAGCAGAGACAATGCACTAAAGAAGATTCAAAACCAGTGAAAGGGCGAAAGGGAGCTTTGGGCTCTCCATCTCCCCGCCTCGCCTCGCCTCTCCTCTTTTTTTCGCTCCCTGCTTTTGACTGTGTGCTGCTTATGCAAGCCCTGGCCGGACGAAGGTCTGCTTTATTGAAAAATCATTTTACCTTAGATTCTCGCATGGCCAATTGAGCACATTACACACATGCATACATACACTCACAGGCACACACTAAAATACTCATTTAGACAAAAGCGGCAGCCATAAAACTGTTCGCCAGCAAATGGAATTTTACGCAATGGCCACAGCAGTTGGACTAGTTTGGGTCTGTGTGGGTTTTTCAATTTAACGGATGGACAGTGGCCACAAATTGATTTCAAAACTTCGTTGTGTAAATCGTTCAATGAAAGCCAGTTCCAGAAAGCTCGCGATGTAGCGAGCGAGACGATCAATTCAGAGAATCCGTTACGTTTGGCGCTCAGTGAGCAAAGCTCGAGAGAGCTTTCTTATGTTACTTGTTGTACGATAAGTTCACTTAAGAGAGCATCGCTCAGTAAGCAATCCGTTATTATTTATTGAGTTTGCTTCTCTGTACTCTTGAACTTCCAGCAAAAGTACGAAATGTATACAATAAGAATACAGTAAATGACTGCTGCAGCACTACAAGAATTTGAATACGTTAAATTGTCGGCCAATAAGTATGCAAAGCTTAGGTGAAGCTAACCACTGTGCAGCTGCAAGTCCAAATGCAATAATTCCCATTAAGCTTCCAACCGCGTGACGCCCACAAGCTCCGCTTGTGTCCTTCGCTGCCTAATGATGCTTGATTTAATTAATGCCGCATTACCTACGTGGCCAGAACCAGGGGACGCAACCAGTTCGTACTCTACACACATTTATGCCCTAGTATTGGGAGCCAGGCCAGGGCCGGATAGCAATTGGAAACTGTAAACGTCTGCTGCGGGAGGGTAAAGCACCACATTGCCATTTGCTGATGATGATAATTTATTGCCCCGAAGGGTTGCCAAAGCTACCCACTCCAACTACCTTTCTCGTTCTCTTTCGCTGTCTCTGTCTCTGTCTCTGTCCGACGCGTACTCCTTAGAGGAAACGATTTCCGCTTTGGGCCGCCCTGGGCGTGTGCAAATATTTGCAATGGCTTTCTATTCGTATTTCCCCAGCCAGAGCAAACAAATTGTTAACAATATTTATTGTTTGTTCGATGTTCGTTCGCTGGATCGTTCTGCGGCTGTTGACAATGATGAAATGGCAACTTAAGGGCCCACGCCCACTCCTTTGGCTAAATCAGCGCATGTAACTTGACCAGAGGAAGAGATTCTGACCAGGACAAGGCCGTAATGGCTGTCTGGATGTGCGGCACTCTGGGTCACAAAGTCACAGCCATCGGGCGGCGTCAATGCTCATTTCCGTCGACATATTTTCATTTCCTTTTGGCTTTTTGATTCGTTTTCTGTTTTTGCTGTTCCTCCATGGATTACCAGCTGGCAGCTGGCCCCACACCGCCGACATCCGCCCAGCGTGAATTGTAATTCATTAAACTTTTATTGTACAACATTTTCCATGAGGGCTGGCCTTCTCTTCCTGCTTGGCGGACCCAGCACCACTTTGGCTCTGAGTTCTACTTCAATTTTAATTCGAAATTGAGGCAGGAAACACCCATTTATGGCCCATGTACAGAACGAAACTTTTGGCAACATTTAAAAAATACACAAAAATCATAATTAAACTTTTCAATAGAATTTCCATAAGGAGAGGCCTCAGACCCGCCCCCAAAAACAAACAGAACGAACGGCATTCGGTCGCTGCTAATTATAAATTATAATTTTCCAGATCCTTTGTTGCCGAAAATAATCTTAATGAAATCATTCAAACAAAACTTTGAGCCATCCCTATCAGTGGGTGGGTGTGGCAGAGGGGCGGGCCTGGTTCTCCTGCCTGGCGGCAATTAATTTTGCTCAACGTTCACGGACAAAAACGGGACACGTTTCGATAATGAAAGCCGCAACTGGCACGCCCCCCTGCCTGCATCCCACACGCCCCTACTAATTGTGCCAACAACTTGATTCCAGCTGAGCAGTCTGCTTTTTCATTCATGCTCGTATCCGACACCACATAAAAGCAGGAGCCCAACAAAAAAGCTAAAGCTAAAGATTCATGTGTGTGCTCGTGGCGCCCCAAAGAGTGGGCTATCTAATTGTTAAAGCATCAAGCAAATGCCACACTTCGACACTGCCTCTGCCTCTGCCTCTGCCTCTGCCTCTGTTGTAGTTTCATAAATTTGAATTTTAAATTAAACACACACAGAGAGAGAATCTGCATGTAGAGGGAAGAGTCTCGACCGTATGTTGCCCTTCTGCCAGAACTTTAGAGATAAAGTTTTCGCCTGAAGCAATTCCTGGCACGAATGCCTTCAGCTTGGTTATTTGAGTTGCCCATAGGTATTATTACCAACCTCTTCCTTAGATATACCCCGTGTCTGGCGCGATTCTAGGGCAGTGCAAAGCAAAGTTTTCTCTCAATTCTCAAAAGTTGGAAACTTCTATCCTTATGCAAATTGATTTGTGTCGTGTGTTTCTGCAACATTTTGCCCAAAATTTCACCTTGTGGCTTGGTATTTGTGTGTGTGTGTGTGTGCAGATTCTTATGTATTTATTTATTTGATTAAGGTCTTATATGTTTGACATTTCAGTTTACATTGTAAACGCTGAATCAACACAAAACTATTAACAAGAAATGGTCGGATAAATTAATTAAAATGTCAACCTGAGTTTATCCTTCTCTTTGCCAAAGGCAATTCCGACAAAGTCCATAAGATTTCAGGCCCCCCAAGGCAAGGTCTCCCAGGCAGACGCCCGAGCAGGCATAATTTAAGGCCACAAAGCAGAGCCGGTCTATGAATTTTTTATGAGTCCAGCCCAGGGGAGGAGCAATGTTGAATATGAGTGCATACAAATTTAAATATTTCCAGAGTGTTCCATTTCCTTATCCAAGCACTCAAATATGCACATATTCCCGCATTCATGTATATTTTCTAACTAAATAAATAATAAATGTTTCGCATATCTTCTCCGTATTTGAACAGGAAACGCAAGCGAAATCGAGATCGAACGCCGCAGCTAATTAAATGTGGGAAAAGCGAACAAAAATCCTTTCATTTCCACTGACACCTTTTACAGTGGCTGCCAATTGCATGCACACGAGCCGTGGCCTGTTTGCGTTTCATTTAATTTCTTATTTTGATTTCAATCAAGTTCCGACACGCCCAATGGGCAAGAGGACACAAACAACAGTAAATGGTAATCAATGATTTTGTTAACAAAAAGGCTCCTCCGACAGTACATAAATATGCATCCACATATAGATGTTGAAATCTGTTATATATATTCGACACCAACCGTGTGCGTGAATTGCATTCAATTAATAACTGTGGAAATGGAAAACGTTTCAGTTATTGTCAGTAAATAAAAATATATATAAATTATCTACTTGTAACCCATAGTCATGTGCCAATTCGAACAATGAACAAAGCTAAGAAACAAAAACAAACAGAAACCAATACGATTTGCAAATTCAATGAATAATAAATAGATGTACATATGTATGCGCATATGTATGTAAAGATATGTATACATATATGTTGTTAGTCTTTAAGTATTTAAGAATTTCCGTGTGATGCTTTGTATTATTCGTTCAATTGATTTCAAATCAAAAGGAAACCATTCGAAATATATATGTTGGAAAATGTATGACAAAATATCTGCACATTTATCTTTGGGATACCGCAGGTCAGAGGCACAGTTCAGCGTTCCAAACAAGCGGCCAATGGCCTTAGTTTAGCCTGTCGTCATCTCTTTGTGGGCTTTTGCTCCGCTTTTCATACGAGATAAGCAAAGACACGGCGGCCGCAAGCATAAAAGAGCAATCTGGCGGAGATAACACAATGAGTACAATCTGTGGGTTGGCCCATTTGCAAATCAGTTGACGCTTGCCACAGTTTGCCGCTGCAACGTTTCGCATCGCTCCAGAGTTCGGGGGAGTCACAGTCACGGCCAAGACAAGACAATGCCGCTGAAAAGTCGATCAAACGCTTAAAATGTAATCAAGTTCGGTTAGGGCCATATCTTATCTTGAGCCTTGACATATGCCAAAGGCTTTCGTGTGAATCACGGCGCAACCACTACTCATCCGGTAGATAGAAAACCAACCGAGTGTTAACTCATTTGGACACACATAATGGATAATCTTGGGGCACTGCTACTGGCCCTGTGCTTTTTTGTCTTCATGATCTTTCTGCTGCGCGTAAGTGGCCGACTGCTCCGGCTCCGGCTCCGACTGCTTGCCACAAACTACAGCCATCAAGTATGAATATTTTGCAGGTGCTGCTGCTTAGCTGGCGCGCCTATGCGATGTCGCAGAGCCTCAAGGATGAGCCAGGTGAGTGCGGGACACAAACATAAATATTTGCAAGAGTTTGGCCACTGAACTGGCGGCCCTACCCATTCTCCATAAATCATGGCACACACACACACACACACACACACACACTCGCATAAATGGTAGTCCCTGTCCATAGATATATATCTGTTTGCGCACATTTATCATATCGCCTCATTAGATACAGAACACAACACGGCACAGAAATCACAACCAGCCGTAAGTAAGCCCCTGGCTCGGGTTGCTGCTTTTGTCACCTTATCAGCTAATGATTACAAAGCAAATATGTGCCGGGTGTGTGTGCGTGTGTGTGGGTGCAGGTCTGACCCATGCCCGGATGGGCCATCAATTCGGAGCGGGCCAGTCTAGTTAGTCAGTTCGATCGAGCTTCGCCGCGTCGCCTTTGAAGGAATATTGAGATACACTTCGATTCGTGTTACGCAAAAATCAAGAAAATCGAGTAACAAAACGAGTTAAGTATGGCGCCCGCTATTAATAGCACCATTACCCCCCCAATGGCAAATCTGACAAGCACCACAAGGTCGCTTAATAATGCCACACTGGCAACAACTCCCGCTGGGTGGACCAACGGATATACCGCTGCCTGGGATGGTCCCTATGTGTACTACTATCCCAACTATGTGATGTACATAACGCTGGTGTTTCTGTTCGTCTTCCTGCTGCCGCTGGTTGTGATTATGGTAAGCTGAGATCGGCCACGGGTCTGCTGCTCCTTCTAACCCTCAAACTTTACCCCACTGAAGAGTGCCATGAAGCGCAAGCGGGAGGCGCAGGTGCGGGCCCTGGCTCTGCAGAGACAGCGAGGTAATTTGTCAACAGTTTTGTACTTTTAATTCAGCTATCGCTATATGACCTGCTTGAGTGCTTCGAGGAAAGCAAAGTTAATCAGTCCCAGGTAGAGGTAGTAACAGTTCAACTTGAGCAGCTCCCAGCGTTCGCGCAGCCGCAGCCAGAGGACGCGCGAACGCGTGTTGGCCAGCTGCGTCCGCTGCTCCGCATACGATGATTGGACACAGCACTTGGACATGACCCAGAAGGCGGGCATGCGGTTCTGTGTGCACAGCGTCGTCTCGATGCTCCGTATCAGATCGTTCGTCTTGAGGATGAGCAGCATCTGGCGATCCACCTGCGCCAGGACATCCGAAAGTTGAGGCAGCACCATGGACGTATTTTTCTGAAGCGTGTTCTTCTGCAAATGGAATCACATTAGCGTTAGCAGACAAAGAGAGAAATCGATGGAGGGACGCACCTCTTCTTTGGAATATTTGACTTTGGTGATGCCCTGCGTGACCGTCTCCCAGGGCCGGCCAGTCACCATGCAGGCAAACAGTCCGTACAGATCGCCCTTGATGCCCAGCTGCTCGCTGTGCAGCCGCATGGCCTTGCGGTCCACATTGAGTATGCTCAGCCAGAGCTTGGAGTAATCGTAGCGGAACTTGTCGGTCAACTTGGCATACAGCCCGTGGTCCAGCAGAATGATCTGCACACTGTGCTGTGGAGTGCGCCGCACTAGAATGTTGCCCGGATGCGGATCACTGTGCACGAAGCCCGTGCTGAAGATCATCTCCGAGTAGAGCTGGCCGATGCGATTGGCCACCGCAAAGGCGTCGATTTTGTGGCGCTTGATGTAGGAGAGGTCCGTGACATGGCCACCCTCCAGATACTCCATGACGAGGACTCGGGAGGAGCTCAGCTGCCAGTAGATCTTGGGCACGCGCAGCCAGCTGTACTTCTCGAATTGCTTGGCCACCTTCTCGGCGTTGCGGCCCTCGTTGATGAAGTCCAGCTCGTCGGGCAGGTTCCTCTTGGACTCCTCCACCAGCCAGTGGATCTTGAAGTCCGGGAATATTCGGGCCATCACAATGACCGCCAGCTCCATCGTCTTCATGTCCACACGAGAGTTGCCCTTCACATACGGATGCTGCACCTTGACAGCCACTACCTCGCCGGTCTTCAGGCGCGCCTTGTGCACCTGAGCGAGGGAGGCGGTGCCCAGCGGTTCCCGCTCAAAGTCATCGAATATGTCCTCTGGATTGCACTTGAGGTCCTGCCGGATAACCTTGTACAGGTCCTCGATGGGATTCTGGGGTGCGTCCGAGTGCAGCACCTTCATTGTCTGCACAAACTCCTTGGGCAGCAGATACTCCAAGGCGCCTATGTGCTGCCCCACCTTTATGTACACTCCCTTGTTGGTGCATATCAGCTTGAGCAGCTTCTCGGCCGCCATCTTGTGCACCCGACTCTTCTCAGCCTTGTACTCGGGCGACTCCTTGTCCCAGTCCCTGTAGTAGAGCTCCCGCTTGTAGGTCATCGTCACATCCACGACGGCAGCAGCGGAGCGCGACAGCCGCACAATTCCCAGTGAGTTCGGGTCGTAGTCGTTGGTGTGAAGACTCAGACCGGCGCTGACCAGGCCAGCGCCCAAGGCGCCATAGCCCAGAACGCGACGCAGCAACATCTATGGCAGCAGCAGCAGTTTCTGCTGTGGAACGTGAAGAGGTTTTGTTAAGTGTTTTTTGTGTGTGAAATGGAATGGCAGCGCGGGAGAAGTCAGTCAGGTGTGAAGTCAACAAGTTGTCAATGCCGATTAAACCTTGAGCTGTGCTCTGGCGGGCTTTACACGTTTAATTACCCCGGAGTTCTAGTTAGTTGGCACTTGAGCCACAAGCCAGAGTTCAATCATTCGTTTCGATCTTTGCACTTTGTACTAAGATATGTAAGATATGTAAGATTTATGTAAATGAAATGTACGCTCTGGATAATGCAACAGGTTTAGTCGCACTTTGATCTATCAGCGGGCTGCGGAAACTTTGCTGGTCCAAACAGCACAGAGCGTACATTTTCATTTACATATCTCTCGATATCGGTATGCCACATGCATGCATCTTAACTTTCACCCCAGCGTGGCGACAACCCGACTTACATAAACCTGACTGAAGGTGAGACGATCGCACAGCTCGAACTACTGCAAATAGTTTCACTTACTAGAGTTTTGTGCGCTTTTGTTGGCGCTGCTGGTAGTGCAGCCGCGTAAGGTAAACAACAAACAGAAACTTTATAGAAGCAAGGAAATTATTTAGAAACGCGCCGAACGAGCAACAGCTGCTCGGATGACGTCACAGCAGACCCAGCTGAGGGTAACAGCTAAAAGCTACTTAACAGACATTCATCAGTTCACAGTGGCCAGCTATCGTTATTTCTAAATGTTATTTAACAGCGATATGTTATTGTTTTAACAGCTGAAAGCTACCTGACAGTAATCGGTTAATAGTGCTTTCGCGTCTATCGTTAATTCAAAATTACATTTAAATGTGTTTTTTCTTTTCTCTTCCTACAGCCCGTCGTGAGATGGAAATCAGTGTGACGAACAACAATATAAATGGCGGATCCGCAACTGCCGCTGGCATCAGCAGCGTCAGTGTAGGCGACCAGAGCGACCAGATTACAGTGCTGCCGAAGACATTGGATCTGCCGCCCAGCTACGACGAGGCAGCATACCTCGAGCATAAGCAGGGAGTCAGCAATGCAGCCTCCACACTGACCATTGCCACCAACCTGGAGGTGGGCATCAATGAGCCGCCGCCAGTCTACGAGGCGGGTGCCGTGGCCACCACCACAACGACAACCACCACAACCTTCCGGGTCAACGGTCAGCCGCCTGTGATGTAATCTAAACACTCGATGCCGAAATTATACATTATATTTCATACTTATACGCGCTTATATACATAAATATATACGAGAAATTTGTACAGTAATTCTTACGAGCTATAAAAGTTTACTTAAATCTTTGATCGAGCAGCTAAATGCTGAAATAAACAAAGAATTATCGATGTTCTGTCAACTTTTCAGTTCTTGCTGGGAAAGTTGTGTACAAGAAAACTAAATCACTTCATGGACTTTTAAACTGATTTAACTGTTTTAACTTAACAGAACGAATTAACACAAACGTAATAATAAGGAATTAACATTTTAGAATTTCATCGAGTTTTGGACCCCATTTTCCGTACGGATCCTTTGGCAGTATGAATATGTTGTCGCACCACGAATAGCCCAGAACGCGCGTCTCTACAATCTTCTTGAATGCTGGATTCTCATTGATCAGATCCCTGTAGTTATCATTCGACACGACAGCTGCATTCCACTCGTATGCCAGCTGCAAAATGAAGCTAAAGGGTGGCGAAAAGCAAGCCATTAAATATGGGGAAAGTAACAACTGAATCAACGACTTACCGATCGTCGTAGCTGGTGGACATTTGGCCGGGCAAGTTCTTGCATGGAGTAAACACAATCTTGCCCTCCTTGTGCAGCTTGTCCAGTAGCTCGGGATTCGAGGATTTTGTCGCATTTTTGCGGAACATCGGAATCACAGCCTTGACTTTGTGGCCCATTTTATCAAAGTATTGCAGGCAGTATTTGATGCCCTCCGAGGAGAATATGTTTGAGTTGCCATGCCTGTCAGGGGATTGAGGGGATTAGGGCATTATTTAGGACACATCCCATGTCTGTGGGTCACTCACGCAAAGGCCACATTGCTGCCATCGATGATCACCGCTCTTTTATTTGATTTCGGCTCGTTGTCAGTCTCCTCGGATGCGTCGGTGGGGTTGAATGTGTTGCTATTGTACTTGCCCAGCACCTTCTTTTCGGCAGAGGTGAACAGGCTGTCGTTCATCCGGTTGCTCTTGCTTCTCCTCTTGATGTTATTCCTATTCTTTTTGGAGGAGCCGTTCTCCTTGGGCTCATTGGGTGGCAACGGAATGTAGTCGTCCTCTGAGGCAGCATCATCGATTACAATGACAGCATCGGAGCTTGGTAGGCTCTTCTCCGCCTTGGGCTCTTCGAAGCTATCAGCTATAACGATTGGGGGAGCATCCGAAAGGGCCTTTTGGGCCACCGTGGAATACAATAGCTTTTTCTGTGGTGTCGATGTGTATTGAAGAGCCGTTTCGCGGCGGCAGTCTTTGAACAATATTTGATGGGGTGAGGTAAGCAGTTCAGCGCGACGCTTGCAAAGATTGAAGTTTCTGTCACTGGTAGAAGGCCCGTCGCCATCACTGTCATCATCTTCATCGATGTTTATGAAAGCCGTTGGAGGATCCAACAGCACACAGTCATCATCATCGCTGCTTTGCAGCTCCTCAATTATTTCTCCATCCTCAATGGTTTCATTGCGATGATTTGGAGCTGAGTTTCCATTCGCCTGCGTTGCCTTTAAATATGTGATCAATGGTCCTAAACACAATCAATCTGAGCCTTACCTTCGCAGGCCTATAAAACTTTGGCTTGGGCAAGACTTTTGTCTCCACGGGCGGATCCCTTCGAAAGTCCAACCTGCGCTTAAAGTGTGGACTTTTGTTCATTTTGTATTTCTTCTTGATGGAGCTGAGCAGCTTCTTCATGTATTCGCGATTCGATTTCTTCTTCTTTTGTGCATTCTGCTGCAGTCGCTTCGGAGAGTTCTGAAATAATCGAAATGCAATTAGTTAAGTTCCGCAATGAGTCGTCTCACCTTTAGTCGTCTCACCTTGGCGCGAACATCTTTAAATTTCTTGAAGCGGTGGTCTGCCCGTGGCCCAGTAAAGTTAGCTGCTGGTGCCATTGCAGAGAGTGGTGGAACCTAATGACAAGGGAGAGAAATGTATTAAAAATGATTGAAATATAATGCTACGAAACCTTTTATACTTACTGTGAGCCCCGGTCCCCCCTCAACCCTTAGTACTCGAAATGTGCTTTGAGTAAAACAAAGTGCTTTGGATTTATTTTGTTTATTTGTGGGAATATGGAATGGTTTATTGGCTAGCTTAAAAGGGCTTACGTATACATTGGCATAAAATCTAACTAGTAGACACATTTTTGATTTTCTCTAGACCCCATGCACGCCCCAATCTGTCCCCTGTCTTTGGAGCAGTGTTGGTCATAACTAGCAATTAAATACACAGCTAAGCAGCAAATAAAGCGCCCTTTGGAATCAATATCTGAGCATTACTTCTTCAGCTCGAGTATCTCGCTGCGTATGTTGGCGCGTGCCTGCTCCTCGTACTTATCATGGTACTCCCCAGTTGCATATATCGAGGGTATAAGCAGCAGAGTCTCCAGCACCTTAATGCGCATGGCCTTGTATGTCGCATCATTCAGATTTGCGTACTCGGAGCGCAGCAGCGTCGTATAGTGCTTGTACTCCTCCGGCGAGGAACTTGTGAGTCATCAAATGAGCAATAAATTCGTTTCGTTTAAGCAAATACTTACGCTAGCACCACCAGATCAACGTCCTGCAACAAGTTGGCCTCATCGTCGTGGCACCAGTGCACTTCGTTTTCGGGTGTTTTGCGTCCCAACAGGTTGCACACCAGACTCTTCGTATCGTCCTGTTTAAGCCAACACAGCTATAGCCAATGGTCAATTGTTGTTGCACTCTTTATGCTACTCACGTCTTCGATGGTGGCCGCCTTGCAGAACTCCTGGAACACCTCGCAGTTCTGCTCGACACAGCTGCGGTTGCCATCAAAGTGGTAGTACTGGAAGAATGCGGCCAGCACAATGTTCGGATTTGTGCACTCGGCCAGGTGGGACTCCTTGCGCTGCATCATCTGGTGCCAGTTGTGATAGGCACGCGCGGGACTGTCCGTGCTCAGATGCTGCTGGATGCGAGTGAACCACTCATTGGCCACCTGCTCGGGCACATCGTAGTGGGCGCACACTTTTTTCCAGATCTCTTCCATTTTTCGCTGACTTTTGGTGGGTTTGTGTAACTGCTTTTGGCAACTTGGATTCGATTGGGACTTTTTCTGCCTTCGATGGTGCGATTCGTGTCAAGGTTTTTCTGGAACTTGCTCAATTTTTGTCTCTACTTAACTTTTCGGGTGCTGCTTGGCTACGGCGTTTGCGCACTGCCAAAGGGTACCACAACAATTCACTTCACACAACAATCAACAACACAATGAATCCAACACACGCGGGACAAGAGGAAATGCGCGTCGTTTTTTTAATCATAATATAATCTTATGTTCTTATATACTAGCACTTACAGTTATTCTGGTGTTTGCGCGCGAATTATCTACCTGAGGTCCTTGGGCCGACCTGTTGAGCAGCATCCGCGTGGTTTTGGATGAAGGCAGTCCATGTTTTTGCCGATGGCGATGTATCTGCCCTGGCGTCCTTTTATTCTTACGTTTAGCCATCAAAAGGATTCGTTGGGTATTAATTAAGTGGTTTAACTATTAATTTTTGCAAGTCTTAATAAAACGCTAAATCCGCACAGCTGTTTTTTGTGGGTTTTGTGGATCATGTGCACTTCGGTATTTTTGTGTTAGATGTTTCAGTTAAATTTTTATTAATACTTAATACTTTTCGTTACTTTTTGACATCGAAAGTGATTTGGCGTATATTTACAGTATATTTGATCTATTTGTGTGTATATATTTACAAAGGTAAGGGAAATCTCTGAGGTAAATTATATTTAAATAGATTTAAGAATACAAGAATTTCAAACATGTTTTCCATTGTTGTATTCACAGGATGTTTTAAGAAATTATCTTCGGTATATTTCTGAGGATCAGATGGTATATTATTTCGTGAATTCCGCGGCCACACTGTTGACAACAAATTCTTGCTAAAAATTAATAAACAAATACAATTCTGAATGGAACTCGATTTGTAGAAGAATATTCGGAGCATTTGATAGCACAGCATCATGGCAGCCTGTGTACTTTGTTTGGCTACCTCCACTGCGACCTACAACCTGCTGTCCGATGAAGGGATGCGGCTCAACATCAGGGAGACCATCAGCAAACATTTCCTGTTCTTTGAGGTAAGTTAATGGGGATATTTGAATATATTTGTAACTACAATGTCTCGTATTTGCAGCTACCCATTGCGGATAATAATTCGGAGGTAATCTGCCGGGAGTGCTGGCAAAACGTGAGCAGTTTCAATGAGTTCCACCAGCGGGTGTACATTCTGCACCAGCAGCGGCTGAGCGACTCCAAAAGTGTGCCCATCGAGTTTTGTGGAGAGACAGAGGCCATCAATCCACTGTTTGAGCTGGATGCCCTGTCCGAGGGATTCTTTGCTCCCGAAGCGGTTAAGGTGGAGGTCAACGAACTGGAGCCGCTGACCAAGGTGGAGTTTCTGGAGGATCCGGTGGACACTGGACCAAAAACTGCTACGAAAAGGAGCAGTGGAAACTCGGATTGGCCCACCACTGCGAAGAGGCGGATTAAAAATGAGCAGGCCGTTGGTAGTGATTCAGATGGAGACGTGCCGCTGGCGGAGTTCCTCAACACAGACGCAAGGAATGAAGCGAATGGATCGTCCGAGAGAAACGGCCGCCAGCTGAGAAGGAGTACGCGGCGTGGCCGAAAGCCAGCGCCCAAGCTGGAGCCCACCGAGCGGCTGAAAAAGGAATTGGCCTCAGATGACGATGATGGGGACAATGATTTTGTGGCCGCGGAGGCTGTTCTGGGCACGGAAGACAGCGCCAGCTCCTCCTCCTCATCCAACAGTGACAGCAGCGATGGGGACTCGGACAACAGTTTGCCGGATTTTGAGCCGGAAGAGCGATACGCTGAGATACCCAAGCGGGTCGTAGTCAAGCCCAAAAAGTACCGAAAGCGTCCGAAACCGTTGGTTCCGCCCGTCCGCATGAGCCGCGAGGAGATCGAACGGCGCAAGCTGCAGCAAAATGAGTACGATGAAATTATCATCAAGTTCTTCAAGAAGTTGTCCTGCGATATATGCAATCTTCTGGTGCAGAATTTTGCCGACATGCGAAGCCATCACCGCCTCACGCACAACATCGAATCGGGCTACGTGGCCTGCTGCGGGAAAAAGTTCACGATACGCAAAAACCTGGCAGAACATGTCATGGTTCACCAGAATCCAGACCATTTTATGTGCTCGCAATGTGGCAGAGTATTCCTGGACTCGCGCAGCATGGAGGTGCATGAGCAAACGCACATAGCTCAGCCCGACCAGGCGGAACCCAAGGAGAAGCAGGTCTATCAGTGCGAAAAGTGCCCAAAGACCTTCACCACCAAGGCAGCCATCGAATATCACAAGGTGTCCAAGCATGTGGCCAAGTCCGACTACAAATTCACCTGTCCCGAGTGCAACAAGAAGTTAGTTGCTTCTACGATGTTCTATTTAAACTCCAAACTTGATGTTGATTCCTTTGCCGTTTCAGAATTCCCACAGCGCGCAAACTGAAGGAGCACATGCGCTACATGCATGACCCAGAGACGGTCATCATGTGCGATAAGTGCGGCAAGACCGTGCGCTCCCAAACGAATCTCAAGAAGCATCACGAGCTGGAACATTCCGACGAGCCGCGTCCCAAGCCCGAGCCCGTGCAGTGCGAGATTTGTGGCACTTGGCTGCGGCATATGTCCGGCCTGAAGCAGCACATGAATACGGTGCACGAGCCGCCGGGTGGTGAGCATCGCTGTCACATCTGCAACAAGACTTCGACCAACTCCAGAGCACTCAAGCGACACATTTACCACAATCATCAATGCGAACGAAAGTTCAAGTGCGGAATGTGCGAAAAGGCTTTCAAGCGACCCCAAGATTTGCGAGTAAGTTTATCTTAGAAAGTCTTTCTAATTGGATGCCTAATCCAGCTTTATTCTGTAGGAACACACTTCCACGCACACCGGAGAGGTACTCTACACCTGTCCCAACTGTCCCATGACTTTCTTTTCGAATGCCAACATGTACAAACACCGCCAGCGGCTGCATCGCGCCGAATGGGAGGCAGACCGCAAGAAGCCGCTGCCGCCCAACATCATGAAAATCTCGCAGGGCGCCTCCACAGTCATGAAGAAGCGTCAAACCAACACGTCGATGTTCGCACAGTCGGAACCAGAGACAGCTGCTGCACAGTTGCTTAAGCAATAGCATTTGAATATTTACGATATAGATAAATCGTCAACCATTATTATTATTAACTCACATTTAACACAGATAAGTTAAGTCATAAATAAGTAGACGTCGACACACATAATATTTACAACAACACCGATGGCCCCCGGCCTTATCTAGCTTTCGTCCTGCGGTATTTTTATGGCTTCGCACATGCCCTCCTCCCGATGAATGCTCGCCCAGTGGCGAGACAGCTCCAGGCTGATGGCCTTGCGGAACACCATGCAGGAGATGTGTGGCAGCTTTTCGAAGCGCACCCTCAGCAGGCCCAATTTGGCCAGGGAGTAGCGCCAGTTCTTCATTAGATGCGCATTCTTGCCCACATGCTGAGAGTCGGGCGTTATGAGAACTAGTATACCTTCGGGGCGTAGCAGATCGTAGGCTTTCCGGCAGCAAAGAAGCCGCTGCTCCGCACTGGGCATGTACTCCAGCAGCAGACTGAATATAACACACTCGTAGTGGCTGGCGGGCAGACTCTTCACGCTGCCCTCGCACACATTTGGCCCTGTTAGACCTGGCGTAACATCCACTTTCAGGAAATCCGCTTGGAGCACGTCATCGGTGGCTGGGCACAAGTCAATTGCTGTCACCTCCAGATGCGGCGAATTGGCAAAGGGATTGAAACAGCTGCCCACGTCCAGCACCCGCAACCTGTCTGGTGGCTCCTCCAGGAACTGGCACGTCACTTCGCCCAGCTGCTGGTCGCTGGTGTATGAGTTTAGCAGTCTCTGTTCCCGCTGTCGTTTTTGCATGTATATGCCTTCGGTGAAGAAGTACTTGGTTATGTAGTCAATCGCCCACTTGATGCGGCTGCGAGCCTGCAGCTCCATGTTGCTGTCGTTCCTTTCCCATATGGCTGCCAGCTCCCGCATGGCGTTGGCGTACTCCAGCAGACGCTTCGCATTCTCTGGACTTGTGTGCTCCTGCCAGGCCACCTGGGCTCCATGCTCCTTTGTCAGCCGCCGGAGACTCTCATGGCAGTTCTTCACTATATTCGCAAGACGCTGGTGCTCTTCAGTGGCCATTATTTTTGTGATTGATGGCAATCAGTGCGACCACCAAACTAAACCGAAACCTATACCTTCTGATTATCAAAATATACCGAAATATACCGATGTGTTTCCGATTATATTCCTCGATTTTGATGTTCGCATTAATATTACTTGTTGGATTGAGAGTCTCACCCTCAAAATATAATTTTATCTTATTATTAAATGAATTTTCCAAAAGATTGGTTAGTTTTGAGGACACCTTGTAAAAAGATTTTTTAGGAATTAAGGCATAAACAGAAAACGTTCATCCGGTATGTAGGTATATTAGCATACATGCTCCATAAATATGTTGTGAATATGTAGAAATTGTGTAGTCACGGTGTACTTAGTATGTAAAAATGTAATTTGTTATATTTTGAAAATAGCGAATTGTGTAGAAAACTGATTCATCAATCGTATTAAAATATATGTGCTGCGGTGAACGTTTTAACAACCCAGTTATATTAAATAGAATAGCAAAATTGAGGAACATGGTCTTCCTTGGTATTTTCTTGGTATATTATAAAAAGATGTTTTCTGTTGGTATATTTTTGGGGGTCTGAAGATATATTTTATCCCTAAATCTGCAGTCACACTGGCAGTAAATTCGACGCACACAAAAACAAAGCAGCGCAAGGTGTAATCCGTGAAAAGTAAATAAAATATTTACAAATAAAACTTACCAACAAAATGGCTACTCGCAGGCCGAATCGCGTACGCTGAACACTCCGCTGTACGCACAAGTGTTTAATTAAAAAAGTTTAATAGAGAAATGATCTATAATTGGTGTGTAGTGGAGTTTGTTGTGTGTTGTGCGTGTCCGCCTTGTGATAAATGTGCATCGGCGTGCAAGTTGGTGTGTTTTGTGTTCGTAAATATACTTGAAATGGTTCTAAAAACATAACAAGACGCGGACGATTCGCCTCTTGCACGCACACACAAGCAAACATTTGTACGTGCGTAATGTAATTCCACATGATTTGGGAATCTAAATTTATGGCCTGCCTGAAAGATGTGTTGTGTTCGCCCCGAACCGAACCGTTCGCTGCGTTGCTTTATTTTCTAGCGGGTCCCGTCTGTCCGATGTTTTGATTTTCGTGAAATTTTCCATTGCATTGGGGGTTGCAATCTGCTGCATTTGCCGGCTTGTTGCATCAAAGGCAAAATGGGCATTCATTACGAATGCTCCGCCTTTCCCTTATCATTTACAATATTTCAATTTAGCAACCAGAACAGACACCTACACAGTTGCATAATTGCTTATCACTCCGCTACTCTACTAAAAAGAAATTGTCCAAAGCACCCACACACACAAACCTCAAGCTACAATGTCGATCACACCACGCAACAAAACAACAGAAAAAACATATTTGTGTTCGCAAAAATAAATATATACAAGTACACCATAACTGTTTCTATGTAAACAAATAGATAATAGAAACTTTACCGAATGCAAAAACGTTTCGTGATTTTGCTGCACAGTGTAATTAATACCCGACTGAAGTTTTTTTGATGTGTCTGGTCTTAAATTGTTCCCTCTTGTTCTTTCTCTCTCTTTCTCTGGCAGTACTTTTGTGTGCTATAGATAATGATTATTTGTGCCTAACAAAACCCGTGGAGACGATCGGTTCGTTTCGGTTATTTTTACTCCAAATGTCTTGGAATTTCTGAGATTGTGTCCATAAGAAAATGGCCCGTGAGCCATTCAGAAATCATACTAAAACCGAACTCCAACTGTGCCAACTTACAATCAAATATACAACGAAAGCAAAAAAATGTGCAAATTCTAGTACTCATGGAGGTGGATGGAGTCCACCCTTGGTGATCGGCTTTCTCCTGATGTGCTTTGGCGTCTCAGATTCTCTTCAGTACAAAAATGGTAAGTAATTACAGAAATTCCATTATTATTGATGGCAGTGTTCGACTTTGCCTACTAGTCAGAATGAGTGTGAGGGAGGAGGCAGATGATGCACCGCAAGTTCATTAACACATACAGAGAAAAGAACCAAGGCAGAAGTAGAAGGAGTAACAAAATTACATCTATCCCTTTCGCACCTCTCAAAGCAAGCACATCGTTTGACTTTGTACGCGTGTGTGTATGTGTGTGTGTGGTTTCAACTGCACTTTTCTGCTTCCCTCTCCCCAACACACTCTTCCCGCTGCAAGCTTTGCCTTAAGCTCTCTTCTCATTTTTTTTTCTTGTCAAAGGCCTTTGGCTGACAATTTCTGTGCGCGGGAAGCCTTTATGAATAAACAACAAGAACAACTACTTATTTAGACTGTAGTACGCACTCAACTTGATTGCACTGGGCATAATTTAGTGCCTTCACTTCACTCCCTCCGTCCCCTGCCTGCCACTTTTCCAAGTTGATGGGACGCTAATGAGCTGAAAAAAGAGGCATAGTAATAATTTAGTAGTTATAATAGTATAGTACAAGTATACTCCCCGGGTAATTGCCAGCCGAGTACTCCTCTGCTTCTGCTACTGCACATTTCAAATTCACAAAGCATTGACCCAAGCACACAAATTTTGGGGGGAAGGCCTTTGCCAGGCACAGCGTCGAAGTCTATAATAAGGCTGGCCACAAAGCGCCTTTCCCAAGTGGGGCAGCGGGAGTCGTGCTGGAGGAACGGAAAAGTTGGCTCATTCCCGTTGGTAAAGTTAATATGGAAAATGGCAAATGGACAAAGGCACGAGTATCGTCAAGCTTTGAGAGTGGACGGTGGAGTGTTTGGTTGAAAGATAAGCCCGGGGTCGTCCGCACTGAAGTTGTCGGAGTCCGGAGTCCTCCAACATGCATTGGGGCGCCAGCAAAGCAAGTGCCTCGCTGCCTGCACATCACCAGCCTCCTGCCCGCGCTTCAAGCAATGTGCAATAAAAAATAAACCGACAAAACTTAAAATTGTCGACGGGCATAGTAGTAGAGAGTTGAGTGATAGAGAGAGAGAGAGAGAGAGAGATGGAATGTGGAAGAAGATTGGCAGGGAGTTGCTTCCAAAAAAAGCGCATCAAATATGTACACAAGGCAGCACCAAAAAAAAAAAAGCTCCGCATTCTCATCTCTCTTTGCTTGCCCCTCTCTCACTCTTAGTGTATGTGTGCGTGTGCGATTTACTTTCTTTAACACTTTGACGCGCGCACAAAGTGTTTTTGCCTACGCTGATTCCACTGCTCCGCACGCTTCAGCCCCCCTAGGCCTTGTCCTTTTTTGCAGTAACTGACGTTTTTGCTGCTGGTATTCCGTGTGTGTGGCTCAGGGGGCTTGTATGGTAGGAGATTTGGTCTTTCGCTCTCTTTTGCAATTTGCTTTTCCTTCTATTTACTACGCCGTAGTACGAGCCCGTTTTGTAAGTAGTGTAGTAAAAGGAGCACTTCAAAGCAGGAGGAAAAACGCCTTTGACGGAATTTTCCGAGCCATCTCCCACTGCCCCGGGGACTAGCGTTTCACTGTTGTTGACATTGATTTTGATTTCATTCGAGTGTGCACGCAGTTCCACTTTTAAGCCGTCCACACACACAAACGTACATTATAAACGAATGAATACAAAAAAGAAAAACATGCATACATACACGTTTGCCAACACTCATCCTTCTTTGAAGAGGGCTACAAATGAAGTCTTAAATTTCTTGGGATGAAATATAAATATTATATGATGGGAGAAGTCCATACAGCAGCCTTTAAACTTCTAAATTTAACATAAAACATTTTGTGTCATCAGAAGCAATGAGAAAATACATATTTGTTAAAACATTATTGGATTATTTGGCAAAGCTGTAAATTGACGAGAGAGCTATTCAAATTTATACTCTCATCTCCTCTTTCATACCTGCAGTAGTAGAATTTACCGTAACTAACAATGTATCAAAAGGCTTTAAGAACGAACAGCATACTGGCCAAAATTCCAATCTAAACTATTTATTGATTTAGGCCCCAACTGGGCAAAGCAAATGCCCCAAACTCATCGCAAACACAATTTCGCTCTAACTAACCTAATCATTCTGTGGCACAGATGGATTCCGTAAACCATATCACCCCTCACCCCCCGTTACTGGTACCGCTCTATGCCCCGCAGCACAGATGCACCGAGTATCACTTTGCAATTTAAACAATAATGTTGTGTTGTATGGGGCCTCGTAATTCATGTTTGTGTGTGGGTGGGTGGGTGGTTGGGTGTGTGTTTGCCTGCCACCGCATGCAATCGGTTTCAATGCAGCATCCTTCGCATCTTGCACATCGATGCCACATTCAGATGTGTGTGCCTATGGGGGTGTGCTGTTGGCCTAGCCACTGACCTCTACGCCTGGAGAGGTGGAGATGAATGGAAGGAGGGAGTGCGTGTGTGTGCGTAATCGGAATTGGAAATGCCAGCAAATTGGCTGCCGTTTACAGTTGCGTACACAGCGTGGTCTCTCCATATGCAAATATACAACATCAACAACAGCAACAAAAACAGCAGCAAGGAGAGCACCGACCCGTCTGACCAGCTTTTTCCTGCTTCTCCTTCTTATCATTTATCGTAATCTTGTAATGACGTGTGTTCCACAAATGTTAATTGCAAAAGGGAAACGGCGATAGGCAAAAGGAATGTCCAGCCATCCCTTTGCATCCCGTTCTCTGCCTGGGTACAAACGAGACATCGGAGCATTAAACGTTTAATTAATCGGGATGGTTTGCATTTCATAGCAATTCAAAGGCATTACGAAATTAATCAGCCATTTAGTATTTATGCAGAATCCCCACCCAACCAGTATAACTAATTTAAAAGCATCATTTTAAAGCACTATAATGTAATTTTTTATACATTTATTTGCATCCATCCATCCATTAGATCTATTAAATATTAATAAGTTTTAACTTTTAACTCCAAACATATGGTTTTAATTAAACTTTCCAACACTGAAATAGGAAACTTCTGCTGCCGCTCACAGCTAAAGCGATGTGTACATGCGTATGTATGTACATTTATGACAATAATTTACCCAACAAGTTGCCAATTTAAAGACCCAAAACATGTCAGCAAGTAATTAAATTTTTATACAATTTGCATATCTATAGGCGTTCAGTGCAGGCAACTGCTACCCTTCCCTGCCCGTCCTCTTTGTGCTTGTATGAGTTTGGTTGTGTCCGTCTGCCTGTGTGTGGTGGTGTGTGTGTCTGTGCGAGCCACTTAACATAGCCGTTGGCGTTGGCTAACTAACGAACCGAACGAGAAACAGAAACAGAAACAAAAATAAAAACAAGGCGAATCGAAAGCAACACCACTTAGAGATGAGCAATACGAATATTTTGGGGAATAAGTCACCGTTTACAATCACAGTGCATAACATATTCTAAGTAGTAAGAGGAATATATTCGTGTACTCTGCAACAGAAAGTCTCCAAGAGTAGAGTGTCTACATATTTGCATAGGTATCTGTAGTATCTATTCGATAGCTGGGCGTGACAGCGAAGTCGCTCATCTCTAAAGAGCATCTCCTCCGTGGCCTTTGCTAACAAGCTCTCCCTCTCTCCTTCTCCTTCATTCCACTCCACTCCCTTCTTCTTATTTTTTACGATACTGTTGTTGTCTACCTTCCTGTTGGAGTTTCTGCTGGCTGCTGGCTGCTGGCTGCTGTTGTTGTTTTTATTCCACTGCTTTAAATGTCGGCGCGTTCGTGCGTTGCTTGCAATGCTGCGACGTCAACGCAGCGCAGCGCATAAACATGCACATCGTTAAGAGACCCTTTTGGGGGCCAGGTCGTCTCCTGCTCCGCTAAGCCACCACCGACTCTCTTACCATCTCGTTTCGGCCGGTGACTCGTTTCCAAGCCGGTCATTTAGAGGCCAGGCCCCAGCATCAGCATCAGCATGAGCATGCTCTCGCACACAAACGCACACCCAGCAAACATTCTCAAGAACACACAAACAGAAACACACATGGAAAAGAATGTTTTCTCTTATATCTTGTTGTTTTTGTTTTTTGACTGCTCTTTGTTTTCCTGTAATTGTTCTGACTGCCGTTCTTTTGGCCCGCCTCGCATACCCTTGCAGACGAGTTACTATGACTTTGGGCAAATGTTTGCAAGGTAAATAAGAGAGCATAAGAGAGCCACAGGCATAGCTGACATGCAAAATATCAACCTGCAGGGTATTAGAAGCTTCGAATCCTCAGTAAAACAACAGCAGGGCTGTTTTCATTTCGTTGGCTCCTGAGGTTTATTTGTTGGCCAAAAGTCTCGCCATATGGTCAGGAGAGGCGGGGTCTCTCGGTCTCGTCTCGAGTTTCTTTCGCTGAAGCGTTATCTAATATTGCTGAGAGGAAACATTAATTCGCAGCTTGTTGGCAGGATCTCGGATCCCTCATGGCCCCGACTGACCCGCTAATTTATGTCCCGTTCCTCCGCTCTTTCCCTGCGCCCTCTCTTCCGCCAATCTGAAAAAAAAAAAAACCAATTTAAACTTTATTTATGGCTTTTATTATTTTATGCCTTCTATTTTTGGCATTTCTGCTGCTCTTTTTCCTACCTTCGACTGGCGTTTGTCAATTTTTAACCTGTTGTGCATACTAATTTGTCGAGACTTTTTTTATTTTGTTCGTACATATTTGGTTTTTGTTTTTGTGCTTTTTTCTGGCTATCCCTGGAGACCAGCGTCGTCTTCTGTCTCTATAATTTAAGTGGCACTTTTGAATGATTTGTTGGCCAAGAGAAAACACCCTTGCTGACTTTTTAATTAACTTTTCTTGAATATAAATTAGGGTTCCTTAAATACATATTTATTGACATTTTATAGGACGTATCCTGAATGACAATGAGATGGGGCAGGGGCTGGGGCAGGGGCTATCATTAAGTTTAGCGATCTCACAAGCATTCTTTTGCTAACGCATAAATTAAGCATCG